TGCCTCAGGCAATCTTTCACCTCCGGCCTGTTTCTGCTCTTCCTGAGCCTTCTTGGTTACTTATCAGGGTCCTCAACTTTCTCTCCACTCCTAGGTTTATGTCTGCTCTTTCAGTCTGAGGTTCCTTCGTTAAGGGGGTCTTTTTGCTGGCTCTTACCTGCTGCTATTGAGTTGGTAAGCTGTATGCTTTTGTGTTTCTTTGTCTGCAGCCATCTACTTTTTTCTGGCAAAGAACAAGTGCTTCTGTTCTAACAAGAACACCTAAATGTCAACCCATGTCAACCCATATCTACGATTTTAAACAATGCTGTTTGTTGACCAAATTGTATTTTTGCTTTTTTTTCTGCCATGTCCCCCCCCCCTTTTTTCATTTTTTCTGAATTTTTCTCAACACAATTTATACTTTAATCTAAGTTAGTATTAAATTTTAGTCTTAGTGTTTTTCCTGCCCGAAACACTTTGCGTAATAGTGGCTTTAGGCATTGTATGTACTAGCTCTATCTATAAATCCATCAACTTTTGTATTTCACCTTGTATGTATGTACTTTACCTGAATAAATATTTGTATTTGTATTTGTAAGAACAGCCAGAACAAGTTCTGGCTTCCAGAGGGGTCTACTGGTAACTGATGTTTGATTGTTTCGACCGGGGGTGTATTGTGTGTTGTGTCCTGTGGCAGAAAGTTGTCACAACCCAAATGCCACTGGCTCCATATAGGTGGACGCTTTTTCGGTTAATCCTCTATGTTTGGTTTTCTGTTCCAAGGGATCTTATTTTCAAGGTTGTCTGCAGTGTTATCAAGTCTAACCATCCTGTAGTTTACACTTGGGCCCCATGATGTTTGCAAATACACTGCTCTGGTGGTGTTTTTTTGGGCAGATATTTTGACCTTGGGCATTTTGGATATGTAATAGGGTCAAGGCAGCCAGGTATTTAGTCAATGTCCCTGGTCCTCATCATTCCTGTGTTGCCTTGGGGTGCATTTTCCGGCCACTGGTCTTTCCTTCAAATTAGTATCTGCCACCTCTCTTCCTCTCTGGTAAGTCCCTACATTTTCTCTGTGGTTATTGAGCTACTGGGAGCCACCAAGGGGATCCCCCATAAACCCAGTGTTGAATACAATGAAATACTTCATTCTGGCATTCATATTCCATCCCTTCCATTCTTTCTTTTTTTATCTGCCCCAGAACTGAGTGGTAGCTGGTGGTGGACTGGGCTGTGGGCTGCTTGGTGGCAGAGATTGGTACTAACAGGCTGAAGCTAGTTTCGAGTGAATTATTTGTTTAGGATGAATCGTTTGGAGAGTTGTTTGGTAGCTTTGAGTCTTGTGAACCCAGCAGTTGTCTGTAAAGCTTCGCTGACTTTCTGGATGTATTCCCAGTGAAATGGTAGATTGTCATTTGTTGTGTGCACCTATGTGAAGGGGCCAGGTTGTGGCTGTGGTCCCTAGTAGACCAAACACAACCACTGTGACTGACATGAGCTGTAGTATGAAGCAATCTCAGCGACATAGCTATAGGAAGTCTCCGGGGAGGGCTCTACCAGGAGGAGGTATTTCATTATATTCAACACTGGGTTTTATGCCCAGACAAATGTAGTCAACCCAACCATCTCTTTCCTATAAGATCTTCTTGGCTCTATCATAAAAACTAAGTACATTTGTTACACAGGATCTTCCTGTTCAAAAGCCATAATGTCTGTCCAACCCATCCTCCTGTTCATACAGTACTTTTTGTAACCACCATCATACCATCATACAAATATTGACAATGGACAATTATATAGTTCAATTTGGTACTATTTACTTTATAGAGTCCGGAAGAAATAAAAGTAAAATCAAACAAATATTCCTAGGCCTAGCATGTTACATATATGTACTATATTAGGCCTCAGATAGTGTATTTTAGGCCTAGGATGGTTTGGGTTAGGTTTTTTAGCAACACGTAAAAGACCTATTCCAGTTTCTTATTCAACAGTACCAAATTCTACTCTCTAATTGTTCATTACGTCAATATATGTAGAGTGGTCCACATTGTTTCTATAAGTACTATCCAGACAGAAGGAGGGGCTGGTCTGTTATTGTCATTTTTTCCAAGTATTCTACTTTTTTTTTTTCTAGTATTTTGACTACCACATTTGTCAGCATATACAGGTATGTAATTTAAGGGGTTTTCTCTGTTACCATTTTTATAGATTGGAACTATGTTTGCCTTTTTCCATATATCTGCTAAGATTCCTGTACGTAAAGATGCTTGAAAAATCAATTAAATTGGAATGCACAGCTCGGATAGGCATTCTTTCAAAACCCAAAGAGAAATTTACTCTCCAATTGCCAATTGCTTTATTTGTACGAATCATCTGCTTCCTGACTGCTGTACAAAGTCCTGGCTTCCTTTTGGCTAGGTGATGACCTCTTGTTTAACCTGGACAGAGGACAATTATTTTCTTTTATGTCAGCATTCAACTGAGAGGAAGTGATCCCCAATTTTCATATTTTTCAAGGGGGTTTTTCTTTTGAAGGCAGTCAAGTGTGTTTCATTTGTGCCTGCTCTTTCCCAGTATGTCGAGTCTTGGCAGTTTCATACACAGGTGCCCAAGTTGCCTTCTGAGTTAGTGGCATTGGATCATAAGGTTTGCTGTTTTGCAGTCCCTCCAAGATGCCATTTGGTCACTTTTCATCAGAGTAGGAGAGTACTCCATTCTCTCCTCTCTCTCTTTCTTCAAAGGGTGAGGTTGTGTAGGTTTTAGCAGCAACAAGTGTTGCTTTAGGGACACTCAGGTAATTTGCCTGTGACTGCTGGCTTTAGTCCTGTCTTCTCTACAATTTTTGGGCTCTTGGCCAGGATAGGGATTCTGATACAATGACTGCTCATGCATGTACACTTCTGCCGGGGTTTGCTTGGAAATATCGAGTGATGTTCAAGGTTTTCACTGGGTTTGGTGTCTCAAGGATCAGTTCAAACTTCTATTTTTCTACTCTGCAACTTGTCAGACCAGATATACTTGCCGCAACCCCATCTTTGCAGAAGGTATCCCACTTTTTCCTGTTACCAAGTGGGATACTCTGGAGCCTCCCTTCCTGCTGGACCTGTATGTTCTCATCTGGCACATTACTTGTTCCACATTTCAGATGACCATCATGTCCCAGGCTTGTCAGGTGGTTTTAAGCTGTTCATGGCTCATTGCCCTGGATGTTCAGGAAGCCTACTGGCATACAGCCATCCACCCATGAATCAGAGTGGGCTATCTCTTATACCACATTCGGGCTCAGCCGTTTAGCCTGAAACTTGCTCTCGGAATATTTGCCAGATTGACTCTTATGTTCCTTCAACTATTTGTCTTATGAGGATATACATTTAGGCCTACCTCAACAACTGCCTGGTTTGTGCTCCAATTCATGTGGCTTACCTTGTGGCAGCTGACAGTAGTCCAAGAACATGGCAACAAGAGATAAAGGGTACAAAATAAAGGCCACCTGATGTGAACCACAAGTTGATTATGAAAACCTGCAAAAGCAGCCACTGAACACAAGGTATGTTCAACTCCAAGTTGGACAAACCAGGCTTTGACCAACAATGCCCCCCCCCCCCCCCCCGCAACTTCCATTTTAACCCTTGTGTTGCTAAGGGCAATTTGGCCTTTGTCACCCACAGGCACATAACAAAAAAAAAAAAATATTTCTTCTTAACCTGTTAATTTGTTCCCTGATCACGGGAAAAATAATAAAAAATCGTAAGTGGCATATTTTGACTGCAATAGGCCGGGGAAATCTGGCAAAAAAGAGGCGCTGACTCAGCAAGTGTCAGGGAAGTTTTGCTTCGCCTCAGCTGTCAGGCGAGGGGTTGCCACAAAGATATAATATCCTAATTCTTTCAACGTCTCTGATTTTTTCTTTGTTTTTTTGCTGTAATATTATTCAATAGTGTGTAGTGTGATATATTTGTATAATAAAATGTGTGAATCATCCCTGTACTCAAAATTATGATGGGCATATTATTGATGCAATTATCATGTTCATAAAACAGTGAACTAATACTTTGTCAGTTATTACACTATATACACAGGTTATATATAAGTATCTACATTTGTGTTCCCCATAGCGAACCACTAATCTTGTATGGTGACGGCAGACAGTAACAGGTGGCCACACACACAACTCGTGCTCCCTTCCTCCCTCCCATCATCACTGGTTCAAGGCCAGATGCACTAACATTCCTCCTTCAAGGATACTGTTTGTGGTGTTATTACCCTATATACACACACATTATATATAAGTATCTTCATTTGTGTTCACCATAAGGAATCACTAAGTTGATATGCTGAGTCAAACAGCAGCAAGGAGTGACCACCATACTTCGTATTAATCTGTTTGTTGAAGCGTATGATGGACATTATTTGGATTATTGGAAGTATTCTACTGGGCATTATTTGGATTACAGTATTTGAAGTACCATATTTTACACACTTAACAAATAGATTTTCTGGTGTTTTGACATGTGCCTTTTGTACTGAAGCTTGCTAGGAGTAATTCCTGGCGTACAGAGGCCCATTCTGAACCCGGTATTGCACCATGCTCCAACACCCAGGCTCGCTTATAGAGATGCCTTTTTGACACACAATCTCAGGTTTTTACCACCAACTGGAAAGCGTGCAGGAATTTAAAGTGTCTTTCTTTTAATCCAGTTTGGATCGTTACATATTTGTGTACTACTGTACATCTGATAAAATTCCACCTACCCGATGTCACATCAACACAGTCAAAGACACTCACATACAAATATATTTACTGTAAATAACATCCACTAAGAGCAACATGGTTAAATTTCAACAAGCAACTTCATTTAAAGACTACATAATTACTTAAAGGTTTGTCAATAAAACTGAGGAACTTAAGTTATTCTTCCTACTGGAAATATCTTATTAATAAACAAAAAGACATAAGAATAAGATGCTAATTGTGAAAAGTACAATAAAGTTGTGTGTATGGGAAAAATACTTGCCCCAATCGATATCGTTGTCAGTAACATCCACGACAAAATCATTCCTGAAGAACATGTAACCAATGATGGAGAACATGTATACCAATATGAGGGCCAGTGCTGCCGTCAAGACGATGGACCAGCCATTGCGTGTTACTGATCTCATCACATTTAACAATGTTTCTTCTCTATACACCACATCAAACAGCTGCATAAAAATAGAATAAATAATGTATCCAAATACTATTAGAATTTATTAACAATTAATTTATCTATTAATATTTTCATAGAATTATCACCACAATCCTGCTTACTCCATTCAAGGACAAGTAAGGTACTCGACTGCAAATATGAAGAACCTAAGAAAATGTGTCTTTGGCATGCTCTCGTCTCTGCACTTATTGCTAGGAATGCACATGTGTTTGTACTACTGAGTTGTTGATAGAGTGGCTGCTGCACCCTCTGTGTTTAAACAAAAAACCAGCATTGTATGAAATGAAACGCCATTTTCTAGGTGAGCCCCAGAGGCTCCCTGGAGCTATCAAACTGATATTAGCTATATTTGTCAGGGGCTTCAGTCACATGGAGTTCTGCCTACTGGGAACCATAAGCCAGATACTGGCTCCCTCAGAAAGGCACAGGGAACAATGGCCTGTGAAAACTGCACTCTTTGAGAGTATAATCATGTCTGCCATCAACTGGGGTTAGGCACCTAGAAAGCTAGGCGCCCCTAAACAGACCCGAACTGGTAGAAAATTGCAACCCAACACCTAACAGAGCCCAAGAACTCCCACAAGAAAAACAAGGTAACAAGGAAATCATCATCAAACCAATACGCCACTCACCCCCCCCCCCCTCATCTGGAGGCGGAGAGAGAGGCCTCGCACGCGCGAGCTGGCTGCTTGCCCACCCGTTCCGAGACTGAGCAAACAGAAGAGAAAAATGCCGACTGGAGGGAGAGAGGGAGGGAGGGTGCCAGGGGAGCCTCAGGGGCTCTACCCAGAAAATGCCGTTTCATTATATTCAACGCTGGTTTTCTGTGGGGAGCCCTACCGGCTCAATGCAGCTAGATACCCAAAGATAAGTAAAAATCCAGCATTGAATGTAATGAAATACCATTTTCTGGGTGAGACCTGGAGGTTCCCAGGAGGTATACTGGGCTGATGTGTATACTGTATGTAGATGTGTAGACCCTGGCAACAGTCAATTGATGGAGTTCTACGCTTACTGGGAACCAGCACCAAAACCTGTCCCCTCAGGAAGGCACGAGGAGCAATAGCCTATAGACACCCTCATGAGGTTGGAAGCAGTCTATATCTGTCATCTACCAAGTCAGACACTCAGAAAAGTAGGAGTCCCAAAACTAACTACAGCTGGTGAAAAATTGCTAACCGAAAGCCTAATGAGCAGGAAGAACTCCCAATCAGAAAACAAACAAACAAGCATGACATCACCACAGCTGACGTGCCGCTGTCTACGCACTTCCCCCCCCCTGGGAGGAGGAATAGGGGGGGGGGGGGGTACCTCCCGCACCAGCTACCCAACCCCAGTTCTGAGGTTGGATATCAAAAACACGAAAAACCTCTGACCAAGGGCTACACATGCCCGAGAAGGGCCAGGAACATTAACTAGGTACAGTGCAACCAGGACCCTGTTCGACCTCCAAAAGCCCAATGCCCAAATTCCAGCCTAAGACATATTACCAAAAACAGCAGCCAAAGCCACAAACTTATGAACGTTGTGGACATGGGGATAGACTGCAGACTGGTTGGACTGAATAATCTTGCAGACAACCTGGGAGACCCACGCCCTGGAAAAGGGAAGAAGGGAAAACCGGGTCAACCCAAAGAGCGTCCCTCGCCACGGAGACCGTGGCGCTCAAGTAAACGCGAAGAGCTGCAACCAGACACAAAACATGATGCACCCCCAGCCAAATCAACCAAGCATCAGTAATCCACAGACTCCTCCAGAAGCCCACTGTCTCATTCTTCGCCAGAAAAGAAGGAGACGGCTGCAAGCAAACAAAAAATCCACCAGGACCGAAAGAGCAGACACCACTGTGCCAGAGGAGAGCATGAAGCTCACCGACCCGACCTCTAGAGGCCAAAGCCAACAAAAACAAAGCCTTCTGAAAACAATCTTGGACTGAATGGGCCACAACAAACAGACGAGAAGGGAGAAAAAGAGAGCACCCGATCCAAAGACCAGAACGGCTAAGGCAGTGCCTGAGCAGGCCAGAGGTGGAAATATGCACGAGAAAACTTATGGAACGGCCAAGAAAGGAAAGGCAAAACAACACAAACAGAAACAGAATGCAAGCCACGAAGGGAAAAGAAGTGGCAAAAAACCAGTGTTGAATGTAATGAAACGCCATTTTCTGGGTGAGTCCCGGAGGCTCCCCGGCACCTCCCGCCCTCCGGTCGGCGGGTTTTTCACGGTTTTGATATCCAGCCTCAGAACTGGGGCGGGGATCGCCGGCGCGGGGGTATGGGGCTCCCCTTCCCCCTCCCGGGGAGGGGGGAGCTGCGCAGACATGTGCATTTCTATGGGCCATTGCTCCCCGTGCCTCTCTGAGGGGGCCAGGTTCTGGCTCGTGGTCCCCGGTAGGCCTAGAACTCCACCCACATCGACTGATGCAAAATAGTTAGGGTATCCATATCAGCCATGGATAGCTCCGGGGAGCCGTAGGGGCTCCCCCCAGAAAAGAACACCAAGAGACTTCATACTGTCACCAAGAGGAAGAATGCAGGTGGGACACCATGAAAGAAGCTACCTGATTACCATAATAAGTGGTGATACACATTTGTCAAAAATATCAGACGCGAAGAGAGGAAGAGTAGATTGAACCAGCAAGGTACCTTATCCCCCCAATCTGCTGCAAGAGGCGGCTACCTTGAGGTGCTTCCGGGGCTTAGTGTCCCCGCGGCCCGGTCGTCGACCAGGCCTCTTGGTTGCTGGACTGATCAACCAGGCTGTTAGACGCGGCTGCTCGTAGCCTGACGTATGAGTCACAGCCTGGTTGATCAGGTATCCCTACCCTTTATCCCTATCCCTTTCCATGGCGGAGCCATGGAAAATGCCCCGAATTCGAACAACGAGCAAGCAGTGACTAAAACCAAGGCTGGGCCAACCACCATGGGGCCAGAAGGAGAACCCTCCTCCAATAGAACTCCAGCTGAGCCAGAACCCAAAGCAACAGCTGGACCGGGGAGAAGAGGTATAGGTACCCCCACTTCGACCAGTCCTGCTCAAAAGCGCTGACCGCGATGGCTTTGCAGTCAGGGAAGGGTGCCACATATACCAGGAGATGCCTTGACCACACCGACACAAAGAGGTCCATCTCCGGGGGGCCCGAACGTCCGGCAAAGCCAACTGAAGAAGTCAGCATCGACCGTCCATTCCGTGGACAGTGGAATGAATCAAGACAGGCCATCTGCCAGGATGTTGGACACACCCCTGATATAAACCGTATGGACAAGCATGAAAACGCGAGTTGCCAGATTCAGCCTGAAGGGAAGGCAACGAAATCCGTAAGTCTGCTGCCCCGCCACAAAACCTAAAAAGTCTCTGAACCCCAGATGAATGGGGTCATGCCAATACGCATTCTGGATGTTCAGGGACACCATCCATGAACCCGACTCCAAGAGAAGCCAGACCAGAGACAGAGTGGTCATCAGAGAGGGGGAGGAAGGAATCCAGCGGTGCAGATGGGACAAGTCCAGAATGAATCGAAGATCCACACAGTCCTGTTTTGGCACCGGAAACAAGCAAGAAGCCCATTTGAGGAATGAAGTCGTTTCGACCACACCCAAGCACACCCACTACTAGATGACACAATGGAGTGAATGGGAAGAAGCCTGCCCCACCAGCCCCGATGCCCCAAGAGGAAGAGGAGCCTCCTAATGCCACCACAGGCGGGAAGACACGACCTGAAATGCCCACAAATCGTGGAACCAAATGTGGGAAAACAGAGCCAGCATTTCCCCATCGCCCCATCAACAGGGCAAGCCACGAAAGCGTCGGCACCTCTTTCGAGAAGCCGACATACGTGCAGAGCGACCACCGCACAGACCAGTTGAAGACAGCTCGAGGCACTGGCACAAAAGTTGACACCAATGGCCTCCCTCGACCTGCAGAAGCCTGAATCCTGGCACGAACTTTCTGGGAAGTGTGAGAACGCCCACCCCAGATCATCAACAAATCAGAAAGAGGATGGTAACTAGCAGAAGCCGCCTGCAAAAACTGAGAAAAAACCTCGCCTGAGAACAATAATGGACAAAAAGGAGATGAAAACTTTCGAGCCAGGTCCCAAGCCAAATCAGTAGCGAAAGCGAGGATGAGCTGCTGCCACGCGAGGTGAGAGGCAAAAAACAGAGAAACTGCCTCCCGGAGAATAGGCGCACACAATTTCAGCAACGCTGCCGACACCCTACCAGCCGAGGCCAATGCCCCAGACGATAGCCCAGCACTCAATGCCTTCACATCTTCCACAAGCCAGTCCAAGGACAGCTCGAGAAGGGAAAAGAAGCACAGGACCGAGGCCAGATGCCCGCGTGGGCGAAGATCCTCCGCAACCAAGACAGCCAAAAGGAGGGGACCTAAGCATGTAACTGGAGTAAGCCAACCTCACGCGGAAGCACAGGGGCATAAAGGCCATTCATTGAGGTACTCAAAAGCGCCCCCTCCCATGTAAACCTGTAATACTGTAGTAAGCTCCCGCCAAAAAGGATGCGGGTACAACAAAAGGTTTCTTTTCGGCCCACACAAAAAGAAAGGGCAGTCTGCAAGCCAGAAAGATGATGGAACCTCATAATGCATCCAATATGGGAAAGAGGAACCGAACTCACAAGAGACCGGGTCCATCACAGAGGCAAAGTCTAGGTCTCGCAGGTTCAGGAGGCACCAAAGGCCTCCCGAACCTCCACAGGGGAAATCCGAAAGTTGAAAAACTTCCGGAAAGACAAAGCTTCAAAACCCAAAGAAACCCAGAAACAAACACGGGGGATGGTAATCTGAACCCATATCAAACTCATATGGGGAAGGAGGATACGAAAACCCCAAACCAGGTTTGCAACATCCCTCAGGTTTGCTGTTGCAAACCTGAGGGTACCAAAGCCGAGGCAGGATCAAACGAGGCCCGAGCGTCCCAACCTGACTTCCCCCAGACCAGGAAGCCTCAAATCCAGGCTCCGGGGCAGAGCCATCTCCACGCCCTCCACCCCTTGAAGAAAAGGCAGAGTTCATGGGAAAGGCATCAAAGAAGGGGGGTCTGCTGATAAGACCCAGAAGCCTCGGCGGGAGGATTAGGCTCAAAGGCCTCTGTCCCCGCATCAAATAGGGCAATTCTCAGCCGCCCGAGTCTCATCCCCAACTAAACCCCGCTCCCAACTCCAAAACCCTCATTGATCAGGGTTAGGCACCCAGAAAGGTAGGCACCCCAAAACAGACTCCAACTGGTAGAAAATTGCAATCCAAGACCGAACAGGGCCCCAAGAACACCCCCCAAGAAAAAGGGGTCCTTTGGATTTTACGGACTGTGACTTGGGGGTGTTGGTCGCTTCGACCTTGGTTCAGTCCGCGGCCTTGAGTCCTTTCCTAGTTGGTGTGATTCACCCTCCTCCTCCTCTGCTGCTGCCGACTACCAATTTTCCACCAGTTGGGTCTGTTTTGGGGCACGTACCTTTCTGGGTGCCTTACCCTGGTCGGTGGCAAACATGAATATACTTTCAAAGAGTGAAGTTTTCATAGGCCATTGCTTCCTGCGCCTCTCTGAGGAAGGCAGGTTCTGGCTCGTGGTTCCTGGTTGGAAGAACTCCATGTGAATAAAGACCTAGACTAATATAGCTAATATCAGTCCAATAGCTCCAGGGAGCTGACGGGAAAACCCACAGAAAACCAGCATTGACTGTAATTAAATACCTCTTTCTAGATGAGCCTCTGTGACTCCCTGAAGCTATCTTGCTAAGATGGCTCCCAACTACTAGGTCACATCACCCAAGCACTTAATTTTTAGGTAGGCCAAACTTAAGTGTGAAGGTGGTCGAGGCCAAAACCGTTAATAGTTTCAAAGCGTTATATGACAGAGTACTGTACTGGAAAGATGGACACCATGAACATAGCTCTCATCCTGTAACTACACTTAGGTAATTACACTTAGGTAATTACTAGGGGATTAGAATGAATCAGTTGCAGAATTGAATGGCTGTTTTGGGACTTCATTTTACAACAATCTTGCCGCTGTTTGCAATGTTCTGCTAACTTTCTGGATGCTTTCTTGGTGTGAATAATGGGAATAATTCCCTGCTTCCTCAGTCTTCATGAGGATGGGTCCAAGTAGTCCCCAGTAGATCAATCTCTTACTGCTGATGTGATTAAGTAGTGGGAGGGAAGCCATCTCAGCAAGATGACTTCAGGGACCCACCCAATGCTCTTCCAGAAAAGGATCTAAACTTGGTTAATAAATACAAACTGATCAGAGGTGAAGAAATCTTCAAATCCTTGTCAAAATATCTCTAAACAAAAATAAAACTATATAAAGAACTCACTTACCAGAACTGAGTAACAGAAGGGGTGAACAGAAAGGCCGAGGACGCAGAATACCAGGTAGATGACATGGTAGAGGAGCTCACTATCTGTTACCTGCTGCTCTAATCTCTTGGCAAATGTTCCTTTATTACCCATCAAACTCACAAGATGGATGCCTTTAATTAACACCTGCAAAATATTTAATTCATTATTTTAAAGCGGATTATAACACACATAATAATTTAAATTATAAAGCAATATATATATGCTGCAGCAATATATTATATGCTGCCTAATCAGAAACACCCACTATTTGGGTATTCAAAAAACCAGCATTGAATGTAATGAAACTCCATTTTCTAGATGAGACCCGGAGGCTCCCCGGGCTATCCAGGCTGGTATGGGTATAGTAAACTTTGGCATCAGTCAATGTGAATAGAGTTCTAGACCTACCAGGGACCAACAGCCAGAACCTGGCCCCCTCAGAGAGGCACGAGGAGCAATGGCCTATAGAAATGCACCTGAGGTTATGGAGCATTTTATGTCTGCCATTGACCGGGTCAGGCACCCAGAAATGTAAGCATCCCAAAACAAACCCCTATTCTGGTTGAAACTACTACTGAAAGTCAAACGAGTGGACAGAATTCCCCAAATGAAAACGAGCAAATGAGCATGACATCACCCATGCTGCGCTGCTTGTCTGCACAGCTCCCCCCCTCCCCGGCAAGGAGAAAGGGGAAGCCCCAGACCCCTCACGCCTGCTACCCACATGTCAGTTCTGAGGCTGGATGTCAAAACATGCGAAGAAAATGCCGACCGGAGGGAGGGAGGGATGCCGGGGAGCCTCTGGGTCTCACCCAGAAAATGACATTTCATTTCATTCGACACTGGTTTTCTGGGAGGAGCCCCTTCGGCACCACCATTAATGAAGCCACCTAATCACCATACAGATGGTGATAGACTCGAGTCAAAAATACCAGACGCGAGCCAAAAATACCAAACTCGAAGAGAAGATCGAACCAGCCACGTAATGGACCGGACAAATCTGCTAAAAGAGGCGGAGCTGCAGGAAAACCTTTGGGTTTGGAGCAAGCAGCGCCTGAAACTAAGGCTGGGCCGGCCACCAAGAGGCCAAGATGACTACTCTTCCCTGGTAAATATCCAAGGGAGCTAGGACCTGGAGCAACAACTGAACCGGGAAGAAGAGATACAAGTAACCCCACCAGTAATGTCCACTGTGACGCCGCATTGATCAAATTATGCAGATCAGCAACTCTCCTCTGCTGCTGCTGCTGCTGCTGCGTCAGCCCTGAAGGATACTCCCACTGTCAGTATGGTACCATATTGAGCTATTATACTGCACCATACACACTGAGGATCCCATGGTCTTCAGTTCCTCTTTGGTGGTTACATTCAGATCCTCCTTCACATAAAGCAATATACCACCTTGTTGTTCTGTCCTTTCTGAATGGTGGATGATACCCTGAGAGGAGGAATTTCCCTTCAATAATGTCCTCTCATCCCCATGTTTCACTTATGCCAATGATGTCTGGAGTCTCGGCCTCAGCATATGCACACAATGCATCAAATTTATTCACCAGGCTTCTGGCATTAGTGTACAAACACTTTATACTTCTTTCATTTTTCCCATTGGTCTGAGTGATAGCTCCTAGATTCTGTACATTATTAAGCGCTTCGTTGTCACTCCAGTTTTGTGCCTGTTGGTCTTGTGAGATATACAGGGTTAGTTGTGTTTTAACTCCTTTAACTTTAATGTTAAACACTATAATGTTATATACTATGTTATACACTTTAATGTTATACACTATAGCATTATACACTATAGCCTTATACACTATAGTGTTATACACAATAGCTTTATACACTATAGCATTATACAATATAGCACTATATGCTACAGCCATATACGCTATAGCATTATACACTATAGCATTATACACTATAGCACTATACACTATAATGTTATTCACTATAGTGTTATACACTTTTATGTTATACAAATAACACCTTTAGAGTTAATGTTATACACTAACAAAACAAAGTGATCAACACACGAGACAGAAATATAATAAATATTAGTTACACTGTCTTGGTAACCAAGATACAAAACTAACTGTCAACAACTTACATTAGCACTACCCAGGAGCCAGAGTGTGGGTTCTGGTCCTACAGAGAATATGAGGCGCACTATGGATATGGACCCCAGAAGATACATGAAGATTCGTCGTTGGAAACTAACAACAATGGCAAGAGCAATCAGAAGAACCACCCAAAGGAGGCCATTCACATGACCATTGACATCTGAAAATACAAGACTCAATTAAATTAAAGCAAGAGTCAGAGTAACAGAATGATATGTAGCATAATAAAACCAGCGTTGAATGTAATGAAACGCCATTTTCTGAGCGAGCCCTGGAGGCTCCACGGAGCTATTGGGTTAATATGCGATAAATTAGACCAGAGCATTAGTCAATGGAGATTACCTTACCAGGGACCATGAGCCAGAACCTGGCCCCCTCAGAGAGGCACAGGGAGCAATGAACATGGAAAACCCCCCTGTGGTTGGGGATTTTCCTTATCTGCCATCGACAGGGGTTGGTACCCAGAAAGGTAGACATAATAAAACAGACCCCTACATTGTAAGAAAATTGCAACTGAAAACCCAACCTACTCAACTCCCTCAAATCCCAAGGAAACAAGCAAACGTCACACCTCGCCGCTTGTCCGCACAACCCTCCTCTTCCCGGGAAGGGGAAGGAGGAGTCCCGGACTCCACACGCTGGCTACCCAGCAACTCCAGTTCGGAGGCTAAGCATCAAAATAATGCAAAAAAACACCAACCGGAGGGAGGAAGGGTGCCAGAAAGCCTCTGGGTTCACCCAGAAAATGGTGTTTCATTACATTTGACGCTGGTTTTCTATGGAGGAGCCCCTCCGGCTCCCAGGAGCTACATAACCAAAGATAAGGAAAAGAGGGACATAACCGGGAAGTGGCTGCCACACGCTCCTCAACTCAAAGGCTAGACAACTGGCTGCAACCTGCGACCGAAAGACACACATGAATGCCCAGGCCCAGGAACGTTAACCAAATAATGGACAGCCAGAACCTTGTTCAACCTCCAAAATATCCTCGCCCAAATGTCAGCCAAGACATGTTGCTGAAAACAGCAGCCAAAGCAGCAAACCGACTCACGTCGTGGGCACGAGGATAGACCGCAGGCTGGCTAGACCAATAACGGCACAGACCCCACAAACAGCAAGGACAATGGAAAAGGCCGTAGCCAGGGCCGTAACCCGAGCACCCCTTGTCCCAATGAATAGGAACTTTAGGGGGCAGGAGTGGTTAATTGGAACCTACAGCTACCAGCAGACATTGCAACACAGAAGCTGGTAGTGACATACAAGAAGATGAAAGATCTCAGTTCTATAACTGAACAGTGGGGCTGTCCAATCGCAAGAACTGAACACGATCACAATACAACCTAGCACCATCACTATTATAGCCAATAAGCGCATACCAAGAGACACAACAATGTGTAGAATAGAGGTAGGAAATACAGAAACATGCAATGAAAAGACCTTAAATATAGCCCAAGCTCTGGTAGCTAGAGCCAAGAGAGCATAATCAAGATGATGAACGAATAAGACCAAGGAAACAAGTGGTAATGGAATGTACACGATCAAGTAATGATATATAAGAGTGCAGCCAGGCACTGAACGATGGTCAAGGACGGAGTGTCCAAAAAGCAGTGACTGAGGCAATGAATGTGCGTCCAGATAGCCTTGATAGAAGCACATAGTAAGGGCACATCAAGATGCACGCAAAGTGGCCAAGCAACACACTACAAACAACACTCAACACTCATCCAAAAACTGAGAACCAGCGCGTGGCTCACAGTGTCACTAGACCATATATTCTCACCGGTAGAGTGTAGACACTACCGTGTCACGACACAGCTGAGCCTTGTAATAATCTTGGAGCATCGCTAGTGGATTATGTCCAAAGCGACATGAACAGGAGGAGGAGAAGAGGCGCAGCGTAAAGGTGGAGGCGGCACCACCCCACACCCGTAAGCAGAGAAAATAACTAGGTGATAACCTTGTATATAAAATCCAGAACTTTCCCAGTATCTAGGGGACTATAACTGGAGAGAAGATGAGTGAGAGCAACGTATAACCCGCAAGAAGGATGTGGAACACCAACACATGTTTACACAGCCCAGAAACAAAACAAGCACACTCAGCTCATGCGCCTGAATACCGAGCTGCACCACCTGTCATTCAAGGAGGTGCCTACAAAGTGTATAGAACGATTAATAGCAATGTCGAGACAGTACGGAGAGATGTAATTATAAAATAAGTAGATACAGGAGCGAAAAACAATAAGGAGTACGGAAGAGGACCAACGAATCTTACGAGACTGGAGGTAAGCCTCACCGGCAGACAACAGACGTTCTAATAATATGGGAAGTATCGAATATCTTCCCGAACCGTCAAGACCCTTGAGACGCAAGCACAAAAGCACGGAAGCTCACACGGGCCCAGTGGCTTCCAAGACCAATCATGTAGGATTCCAATACGAGGAGAACATGATTGCGACATGAAGTAGAAGAATATATGTCCTAAAAAAAAAACAGCTTTGAATGTAATTAAATGCAATTTTCTGGGTGAGACCCAGAGGCTTCCCAGTATTATCCAGGCTGATATGCTAAACTTTGGCATCAGTTATGTGTATGGAGTTCTGTGGGCCTACCAGGGACCACGAACCAGAACCTGGCCCCCTCAGAAGAGGCATGAGGAGCAATTGCCTATAGAAACCACTGTGTGGTTGTAAGCATTCTACGTCTGCCATCGAGTGGGTCAGGCACCCAGAAAAATAAGCGTCCCAAAACAAACCCCTATTCTGGTGAAAATTGCGACAAAAAGCCGAACAAGTTGATAGAACTCCAGAAACAGAAACGGGTAAACGAGTGTGACGTCACACGTCGCCGCGCCACTGTCTGCGCAGCTCCCCCCTCCCCGGTAGGGTGAAGGGGGAGCCCCAGACCCCCGCGCCGGCTTTCGGCTGTTTGACGCAATTTTCACCAGAATAGGGGTTTGTTTTGGGACGCTTACTTTTCTGGGTGCCTGACCCCAGTCGATGGCAGACATAGAATGCTTCCAACCACACGAGGGTTTCTATAGGCCATTAAATCGAGTGGATACTGTAATTTCATCAGTAGATTGAGTCACAAACAAGCAACAGAGCTCACAGGACTCAGGGTCGAAGGTGTCATCGACCCAACAGGCAACATGACGGAGGCAAAAAACAATGAGCGTCGCCACAAGACAAGGAGACAGAGTAACCCTCAAACTCGCATAAAGCGAGAGGGGACGCAGGGGTCGCATCCATCGGACCCAAATGACCCTGCAGGGATTCCCAGGGGCCCCCAGACTGGGTAATCCCAGGCAGGGTACTGCTAACCGGTGCCCAAGTCTACCAAATAAACCGCTAAAGCTGAACCTCCGGGACGTATCCACTCACAGGGGCGAAGCAGGGGGTACCACTGAACACAGGTCAACACCCTAACTAAACAGGGACAAGGGGACACAAGGCAGACCCCCCTACCAGGCCAAAACAAATAGGAAAAGAAAACCTCCGCAAGAGGATAACACATCCAGGAGGAACAGAGCCGGCCACTGTAATAAGTGAAAACTAGCTGCGTAGTACCCCGTGCCCCTACCAGTGCAATAAAACCAACGTTGAATGTAATGAAACACCATTTTCTGGGTGAGCCCCGGAGGCTCCCTGGAGCTTATCGGGCTAATGTATGTTATGTTAGACCGGGACATTAGGTATGGAGTTCAGACCTACCAGGAACCAGCGCCAGAACCTGGCCCTTTCAGAGAGGTTTCAGGGAGCAATGACCCTGGAAAACCCCATTATGGTTGGGGGGGTTTTCTTATCTGCCATCGACCGGGGTTAGGCACCTAGAAAGGTAGGGGTAACAAAACAAATCCCACATGTTAAGAAACTACAGCAAAGAAAAACAGAGAGGTAGAAACACCCTACAATCCCAAGAAAACAATAAGACAATCAATTTACCGGCCGCGCCGGTCGTCCGCGCAGCCCTCCCCTCCCCGGGAGGGGAAGGGGGGGGACCCTGGACCTCACCACGACGGCTGCCTTCAGTTCGGAAACTAGGCTTCAACCAACGCGAAAAACCCTGCCAACCGGATGGGAGGGAGGGTAGCCAGGGAGCCTCCGGGGTTCATCCAGAAAATGGCGTTTCATTACATTCAACGCTGGTTTTCTGTGGGGAGCCCCTACGGCTCCCTGGAGCTACATACCCAAAGAGAAGGAAAATAGGGACTTACCCCGGGAGGCGGCGGCCACAAACTCCTCAACGCGAAGTCGAGACAACTGGCTGCAACCTGCGACCCAAAGCAACACAAGAACGCCAAGGAACAGGGACGTTCACCAAATAACGGGCGGCCAGAACCCTGTTCGACTTTCAAAATCAACGCGCCCGAATATGTGTCCAAGACATGTTACCAAACACGGCAGCCAAAGCCGCAAACTTCCTAACGTCATGGGCGCGAGGATAGACTGCAGGCTGGCTAGACTTAATAACCCTGCGGACAACCTGGGAGACCCGAGCCCTGGAACAGGGAACGAGGGAAACCGGATCAACCCAAAGCGCATCCCCAGCCACCCCGGCTGAAGCGCGCAGGTAACGGCGAAGTGCTGCAACTGGACACAACACATGATGCACTCCCGGCCGAACCAACCAAGCATCAATGACCCACGGACCCCACCGGAAAGCTGCCGTCTCGTTCTTCACCAGAAAAGATGGAGAAGGCTGCAAACGGACAAACCTAACCCCCAGGACCAAAAGAACAGAAACCCCTGTGCCAGAGGAGAGCATGAAGCTCCCCTACCCGGCCCCCAGAGGCCAATGCCAACAAAAACAAAGCCTTGGAAAAACAATCCGGAACCGAAGGGGCCACCACAAACCGAGGAGAGGAAAGATAGGAGAACACCCTGTCCAAGGACCAGGACGGCTCAGGAGGCGCATGAGCAGGCCGGAGGTGAAACATAGCACAGGAAAGCTTACGAAACGGGGCGGATGTGACGTCCACCCCGAAAGCTAGCTTGAGCGGCTCGGCCAGCGCCGCACGATACGAGGCGACAGTATTAGGCATAAATGACGGTCCTGAAAAAGCCAAGAAAGAAAGGACAAGACAACCCAATCCGAAAGAAAAGACAACCTACGAAGAGCCAGAAAATGGCGAAAAGAACACCAGGAAACTTCATACTGTCGCCGAGACGAAGCTCTCAGGTGGGACACCATCAACGAAGCCACCTGATCACCATAGAATTGATGATACACCCGTGTCAAAAAGACCAGACGCGAAGAGCAGAAGAGAAGGTCGAACCAGCCCCGTACCGGATCGGCCCGACCTGCTGAAAGAAGCGGAGCCGTGGAAAACGTCCCGGGTTTGGGCACCAAGCCAATAGCACTGGAAACCAAAGCTGGGCCGGCTACCAAGGGGCCACAAGGACTACTCTCCCTGGGAATGTCTCCAACTGAACCAGAACCCGAAGCAACAGCTGGACCGGGGAGAAGAGGTACAGGTAACCCCACCTATATCAGTCCTGTCGAAAAGCATCCACCGCGAATGCCTTTTCCCCGAACGCCAGTCGGGGAAAAGGCGTCACATAGATTGGGAGATGCCGAGACCACGCCAATGCGAAGAGGTCCACATCTGGGAGACCGTACGTCTGGCAGATCCAACGAAACGAGTCGTCGTCGACCGTCCACTCCGTGGACAGAGGATGGAAGCGAGACAGACCATCCGCCAGAACGCTGGACACTCCCCGGACATGAACCGCACGGAGAGCCAAACCCCGAGAATCCAGCAGACGAACCACTCGAAGGGACCAACCCCAAAGAGCCAAGGACCGAAGAGAACACCCGTGGTTCAGGCACTGAACCACTGGAAAACAGTCTGAATGGAGCCGAATGGTCGATCCCCGAGCAACCCGAACCCTCCGAAGCGCGAACCAGACTGACGCGAACTCCCGAACCGTGCTGTGAGCCCAACGGAAGGATGGAACCCACCGTCCCTGGCCTGCTTGGTGAGCACTGGTCACAAAGCCCCAGCCGAGAGATGACATGTCTGTGAACACATCGAGCGAGGGCTCAGGAAGGCGCCAAGGCACCGAATCCCGAAAACCCCAAAGAGGAAGCCGGTGATGTAGCAACCGACACAAGGCCCCAGGGGAACTATAGACCCATGAGGCAGAACCTCCACCAGGCAAACAAAAACAAAACAAAAGAAAACCCGGCAAAAGTACACCGTCCGAAGAGGCAACAGTAACTGGTCGCCGCTTAGGTAGCAGGCTGTGCAACACCTTGATGCCCTAACCAGCACAATACCACTTCCTACCCAAGGCCAAACAAGGGCCCCAAGCCCCAGCTGACCCCAAGGGGGAGGCAAATGCCGAGCAGCAAGAACCCCTACGGGAGCGGTTCCCGAACGTCCCATGGAAGATAACCCTGACACGCAGGGGCAGTACTCACAGGGCGCCTAGGGAAGGAAACCCCCTAAGCGCATGCAGCCCCGGCATTGATGAAGTACTCCTGGCCACCACACACCACACAAAAACAGCAGAGAATGCCATACGAGGCAAACACCGCCCAGGAATTTGAAGCCATAGAAGCGTCTATCCTGGTTGACACTAGCTTACGAACTGAAGGCAGCCGGCATGGTGAAGTCCGGGGCCCCCCCCTCCCCCTCCCGGGGAGGGGAGGGCTGCGCGGACGACCGGCGCGGCAGTAAATTGATTGTTTGATCGTTTCTTTTTTCTTTGGGATTGTAGGGAGTTTCTACCTCTCTGTTCGGTTTTTTGTTGTAGTTTCTTACCATGTGGGGTTTGTTTTGTTACATCTACCTTTCTGGGTGCCTAACCCCGGTCGATGGCAGATAAGGAAAACCCCCAACCATAATGGGGTTTTCCAGGGCCATTGTTCCCTGAAACCTCTCTGAAGGGACCAGGTTCTGGCGCTGGTCCCTGGTAGGTCTGAACTCCATAGGTAATGTTCCGGTCTAACATAACATACATTAGCCGATAAGCTCCAGGGAGCCGTAGGGGCTCCCCACAGAAACTACCACTTACCCCAAGATAAACAAGGGCTGGAAACCCCAGAAAACACTCGGGGCAGTCAATTGACAAGCATCAAAAGACCAACAGAGGTAGACCCAAGGTAACTTGTGGAAGATAACCCCAAGTGCCAGGGGCGGTACTTACAGGGCACTGAGGGAAGGTGACCCTAAGCACATGCAGCCCGAGTACCTTGGAATATTACTCCCAGCTCGCATGCCACCGTAAGAGTAGTACTGAAAAAGAGGACAGAACAGCACAACAGTCTGGAGCCGGAGCCACACGACTTCGCCGTATCCCATTAGCCGAAGAACTAGGGGTGTGGATCGCCAGCATGGGGGTCTGGGGCTCCCCCTTCCCCCTCCCGGGGAGGAAGGAACTGCGCGGCTCATGTGACGTCATGCTTGTTTGCTTGTTTTCATCTGGGGGAGTTATGTCCACTTGTTTGTCTGTTTTCATCGTTTTTCACCAGAGTAGGGGTTTGTTTTGGGGCACTTAGCTTTCTGGGTGCCTGTTCCGGTCGATGGCAGATACAGAATGCTCCAAAATCACCTGTGCATTTCTATAGGCCATTGCCCCTCGTGCCTCTCTGAGGAGGGCCAGATTCTGGCTCTTGGTCCCCAGTAGGCAAAGAACTTCCCAAACATCGACTGATGCCAAAAGTTAGGGTATCCTTATCAGCCTGGATAGCTCCGGGGAGCCGTAGGGTCTCCCCCTAGAAAAGCAGAAAAACTGTGAAGTTCTTCACAAAGAATTCAGGTGCCGTCGTCACTAGGTAGGATACACTGGCAAACTGAGCGTGCCTCGCCCCGTGCCCAGCAGAACCTACTTGCCTGACTCATACAAGTACAATACTGTATCAACAAACGACTCTTACTCCAAGTCAGGTTTTACGATGAAATTGACTTCGTACACCAAAAAATTCATACTCTGGGGCATTCATAGACCGAGGTTCCACTGTACAGGTATATTAATATTGGTTGATCACGTTGACAAATGTATGGTCACAGAATGATGGAAAGTGGGTATTTAAGTTAATTTTTGGGTAACAAATGAAGGCCAAGAAGAAGTTTTCACATCATGTCCCCATGAGAACTACACATTCTTAAGGTTGTATGAAGCAATAAAGTGTTGCTGCTGCTGCTGCTGTTCCAGTGCTAAGATGTTGGTCCTACATGATGTTTTTTATTGTAAGAGAATTACAAGTCAAGTAGGAGTAGAACAACTCCCAGAACCCCATCAAGCAGGTATCAACTAGGTACCATGAATGGATGGACAATCATTATGATAATAACTTAGAAAGGAATACTTAACTAATAATGACACAGTTTATGCAGATCATAAGTACTGGGTATATTATGACATTTGAAAAATTTGTCAGACAAAATATTAAACGAGTAGGACTTACTTGGCAAATGACTAGTATATGGATAGAAGAATGCAACAATGAGGTTGTTCATTAATGCCAGCAAGAAGAGTAACCTGCTCCATATTGACATATAGTTACTAATTGTAGACAATACTGCTTGACCTGCAACACAAACATTTTGATTAATGTTTTTGCTACTTGAAAATTATAAACTTAAAAGTATTTTTAAAGTACACAAAGCACCTCATCAACAGTTACAGAATTTTAATATGTAATAATTTAGCTTAACTCTATAATTAAGAAACATCAGATGCTTGTGCCAAAACCCCCGGCTGCTCGTTTAATTAATTTTCAAAGAAAACTCTAGATTTCTTTATAATTAATTTTGTAATTTTAAATTTTAAAATTTTCTAAGTTCCATCTCTTAAGATCATCATATTTCTTCCAATGCCCTTTGTTACACAAGAATTACTGCAGTACCCTGAATTTTTGTCTTTCTTGGAGGGCCACAGAGTAGTTCCTCGATGGTACAACCTGGAATTAACTAAGTGTTGTGGAACACACACCAAGGCTCCATAAACAAGGAAAATAAACAATGATGTCGGGTAAACACAGCCTTGATTCCACTAACCAGTTGCTGACATGAAGAGCGGTTGAGGATTGCATTTGAGAGTACAAGGCAAACGTACATAATGACGGGCACAAACACAAGTGAAAAATCAAATCAACAGTGATGTAAAAGAAAATGTAGAGGTACTGGATGTAAACGTAAGAAGTTCGTGAGAGTGAAATAAGGAAAGACCCATCAATCGGGAAAATAGGTACTTGTTTTTCTTAAACTTGTGTTCTCCAAGACATAATGAAGGTTATCAAGTCCACTACCCTACAGATCTCTATTAGGTATAATATGAGAATCATTTTTGCACTTACTTTTCAATTTTTTTTGCCACTGCATTTCTATAAACATATCATTACACTTCTCAAAGAAATCGGTGACTTTAGTTCCTTGTTCATCTCGTTCAGCAGTTTGGTAAACACGCTGTTTTGTTTCTCTCGTAAGGTAATTGCAGATCTCTGGGATAGGGAAAACAATCTGCTCCATTGTGCGATCACTTCGGACAATCTGGAAATTACAAAATATTAAAGTTGTACAAGTCATGATTAGTTACAATTATCTTGCATACTCAAATAAACAGCACTGAATGTAATGAAACACCATTTTCTGGGCGAGACCTGGAGGCTCCCGAGAGTTATCCAGACTGATATGGATATCATAGACTTTGGCATCAGTCAGTGTGAAAGGAGTTCTAGGCCTTCCAGGGACCATGAGCCAGAACCTGGCCCCTCAGAGAAGCATGAGGAGCAATGGCCTATAGAAATGCACATGTAGTTATGGAACATTCTATGTCTGCTATCGACTGGGTCAGGCACCCAGAAAGGTAAGCGCCCCAAGACAAATCCCTATTCTGGTTTAAACTACACGTGAAAGTCAAACAAGTGGACAGAACTCCCCAAATAAAAACAAGCAAACGAGCATGACATCACCACATGCTGCGCTGCCGTCTGCACAGCTCCCCCCTTCCCGGGAGGGGAAAGGGGGAGCCCTAGACACCTTATGCCAGCTACCCACACCTCAATTCTGAGACTGGATGTCAAAACACACGAAAAAAATGCAGACCAGGTGGAGGGCAAGAGGGATGCCAGGGAGTCTCTGGGTCTCACCCAGAAAATGGTGTTTCATTACACTCAACGCTGGTTTTCTAGAGGAAAGCCCCTTCAGTTACCCGGAGCTACTTACCCAAAAACAAAAACAAAAGGGACTTACCCGGAGGCAGTCGGCCCTCACTCCTCAACTCGAAGTCGAGACAACTGGCTGCAACCAGTGACCCAAAGCAACACAGACCTGACGAGGCCCAGGACCACTGACCAGGTAGCATGCAGCCAGGACATTGTTCGACTGCCAAAAACGCTGCGCCCAAATGTCAGAACAAGACATGTTACCGAAAACGGCAGAAAGCGCAGCAGAACATGAGCCAGAACCTGGCCCCCTTCAAAGAGGTTTCAGGGAGTAATGGCCCTGGGAAGCCCCCCGGGGTTTCCCTTATCTGCCATCGACCGGGGTTAGGCACCCAGAAAGGTAGGCATAACAAAACAAACCCCACATGGTAAGAAACTCTGGAACCTGCAACAGAGGCCCCGAGGCAAAGCCGTCCTCCACGCCCTCTGCCCTTAAAGAAAAGGGAGAGTCTATGGGAAAGGCAGCAAAGAAAGGGCCAGAAGCCTCGGCAGGAGGAACAGGCTCGAAAACCTCCGTCCCAAACCCCGAACGGGGCAGCCCCCGAAGCCGCCCGAGTCTCGGCACCAACTAAACCCCACCTCGACCCCGAAACCTGCAGACAGTCAGGAGCCGGTAACAGGGAGGGGAAAGGAGCAAACAACACCTAACCAAAACGGGGCGGACCCGGGGCATCCGGATGGGAAACCAACCTAGCGTGTTGCAGCAACCTAAACCGAGCTTGCAACGTGGATGCTGCCAGTACTCTGAACAGTTAGGATATCAGAAGAGTACTGGAGACCAAGCAGAGAACACATCTTGCAAGACTCCGGGTCAATGTGTCAGTGACCCAACAGGCAGCATGACGGAGGTAAAAAAGAGACGACTGCCACCCTGAGATAAGGGCACAGCAACCAACCAAAAGACATCCACTGGTCCACCAAACCCCAACAGGGGTTTTCCAGGGCACATAGGCTGACTACTATGGGAAGCCCGGGATAGATGTCGCTAACCGGTTAACACCCAAATCTAACAAGGGGTAGATGCTAACACTGAAAACCCCCTGCAACGTGTACAACCACGGTGGCCTAGCAGAGGGCCACCAAACACTACCAGTGGAACTATTGCCACACTAGGCAGACCCCCACCAGACAAATGAAAATAAAACAAAAGAAAAACCCCGCAAAAGTACACCGTCTCCAGAGGCAACAGGAACTGGTCGCTGCATAGGTAGCAGGTTGCGCAACACCTTGATGCCCTCAACCAGCATGAAACCAGTCCTTACCCAAGGCCAAACAAGGGCCCCAAGCCCCAGCTGGCCCCAAGGGCGAGGCAAATGCCGAGCAGCAAGAACCCCTATGGGAATGGGTCCCAAACACCCCCAGGAAAGATAACCCTGACACGCAGGGGCAGTATTCATAGGGCGCTTAGGGAATCCCCTAAGCGCATGCAGCCTCGGTACTGATAAGGAACACCTGGCCATCACACAACACAAAACACGGCAGTGAGAGCCACGATGGCAAACACCGCCTAGGAAGCTGAGGCCAGAGAAGCGTCTGTCCCGGTTGACATTAGCTTACGAACTGAAGTTCAATGCAGCCGGCGCGGTGAGGTCTGGGGCCTCCCCTCCCCCTCTCTGGGAGGGAGGGCTGCACAAATGAGCGGTGCGACTGTAGTGTGTTACGTTTGCTTGTTTGCGTGTTTCCTTGGGATTGAAGGGAGTTCTACCTCTCTGTTTGATTTTTGTTGTTAGTTTCTTACCATGTGGGGTTTGTTTTGTTATGCCTACCATTCTGGGTGCCTAACCCCAGTCGATGGCAGATAAGGAAAACCCCCAACCACAAGGGGGTTTTCCAGGGCCATTGCTCTCTGTAACCTTTCTGAAGGGGCCAGGTTCTGGCTCATGGTCCCTGGTAAGTCTGAACTCCATTGCTAATGTCCCTGTCTAATATAAAATACATTAGCCCGATAAGCTCAAAGGAGCTGTAGGGGCTCCCCTCAGAAAAGTTCTGCTCCAACAACACCTGAAAGGCAAAACTTGCCTCCAGCCAGTCAAAAGTGCAGATTCAACAGAACTCACGCCAAGCTCCCAAAGCGAATTGTCAGTCACCCAGTATGAACCCGAAACCTCACAATGCAGTCAAACTGAGACAGACCCACACTCAAAAGAGGTCAGCCCATCAACGAAAAGTGGTTTGAATTTTTAAGGAGGTACAGTACTGAAACAAGCAAATTCAAATCCCCAAAGGCAAAAATGTGCGAGGATGGATACTTCCAGCAGTACGATAACACCGAGGCACCGAATGGGATCTGGAATACAGTAAAAAACTGTACTGTAGCATAGAGTACAGTTTTCACAAATATATTTAATACTTTCTTAAGGTTTGACACACAACTCACCTCAATCTGTGCAGTATTCTCTCTGTAATGAGTAAGTGCTTTACCAAGCTTTTCATTACCACTTTTGGAGAGCAATTCTTCCAGGCCCTTATGATGTTTTGCTAGTTGATGGCACAATATATAGATATTGTGGCCAACCTAGGAGAACAAAAACAGTATTTAGTTAAAATGTTCCTAAAATACACTTAAGGCACATTAAACACAAGAGGCTGTTGTACTATATACCAAGTTAACATTCTGATTAAAAAATACAGAGTCATATGTAAAACTGTCTCTGACTGACACCCTGTATTCACTTTAGATTTCAATTTATGGGATCATCTTTAGAATGTTAACTACCATCAAATATTAAATATGTTTGTTTATTTATTTATTTATTTATTTATTTATTTATTTATTTATTTATTTATTTATAAACAAGAAGGTATATTGGGTTTATGAGAGTACATAGCATTGATGTTTTTACATTCTTGTAAAGCCACTAACACGCATAGCATTTCGGGCAGCTCCTTAATCTAACACACAATTCTAAGTAGGTAATTTGTAGCAAAATTTGAAGGATATTAACTAGTACATTGTAAGAAAATTTGAAAAAAAATTAATAAGTACATTATAGTAAAATTTGAGGATTATCAACAGGTACATTGTAGCATAATTTGAGGATTATTAAAAGGTACATTGTAGTAAAATTTGCATTCAACATAACAACCAAGATATATGATGATGGGAGTGATTACAATGGTGAAGGTGCATAGCTTAGGTACATATATTGGGGGAGTGGGTAGCACAAGATACAATGCTAGTGTGAACCACTGGGTACGAAACTATGAAGATGAAATTACGTACTTTTTGTTATATTTTTGAATAAGGCATAGGTTGGACAGTTTTTAATTTGTTAGGGAGTGAGTTCCATAGACTTGATCCCTTTATTTGCATAGAGCGTTTACACAGATTTAGTTTGACTCGGGGAATATCAAAGAGATATTTATTTCTGGTGCGGTGAGTATGGGTTCTATTACATGTGTCAAGGAAGAGTTTCAGATCAGGGTTTGCATTTAGGAAAAAGATTTTGTACATGTAAATATAGATAACCTCAAGATAACCTCAAGAAATGACACACAAGAAAATATGTGGAGTGAGATTATGTTTAGAATGTTGAGGGATTTTTGTCCAGGAATTCTTCAAAGTAGAGTCATTTACTCTAATGAGGTTTTAAAATTAAAATAAAAGTTACTTCACTCCACACCTTGGCCCAGTTATAGATTACATCCTTGATGAAATAGTTCAAATTCTCACCTCACAGGAAAATTGTCTGAGAAACTCAATGCAGATACAAGCAGTGTAGAACCATTTAAACATAAATTAAGAACATACATTTTCTCTAATAATATATATTCTTATCATGTATATGACACTGACAAAACTGGGCTGTATTGGAGGAGTTTACCTGAACAACCTATGAGTTGTGAGCGTTGTGTGCCAGGCATAAGGTTAACAAGGACAGGCTGTCAGCCATGATGTGTGTCAGGGCATAAGGTTAACAAGGACAGGCTGTCAGCCATGATGTGTGCCAGGGCATAAGGTTAACAAGGACAGGCTGTCAGCCATGATGTGTGCCAGGGCATAAGGTTAACAAGGACAGGCTGTCAGCCATGATGTGTGCCAGGGCATAAGGTTAACAAGGACACGCTGTCAGCCATGTGTGTCAGGGCATAAGGTTAACAAGGACAGGCTGTCAGCCATGATGTGTGCCAGTGTATAAGGTTAACAAGGACAGGCTGTCAGCCATGATGTGTGCCAGGGCATAAGGTTAACAAGGACAGGCTGTCAGCCATGATGTGTGCCAGGGCATAAGGTTAACAAGGACAGGCTGTCAGCCATGTGTGTCAGGGCATAAGGTTAACAAGGACAGGCTGTCAGCTATGATGTGTGTCAGTGTATAAGGTTAACAAGGACAGGCTGTCAGCCATGATGTGTGTCAGGGCATAAGGTTAACAAGGACAGGCTGTCAGCCATGATGTGTGCCAGGCATAAGGTTAACAAGGACAGGCTGTCAGCCATGATGTGTGCCAGGGCATAAGGTTAACAAGGACAGGCTGTCAGTCATGATGTGTGCCAGTGTATAATATTAACAAGGACAGGCTGTCAGCCATGATGTGTGCCAGGGCATAAGGTTAACAAGGACAGGCTGTCAGCCATGATGTGTGCCAGTGTATAATATTAACAAGGACAGGCTGTCAGCCATGATGTGTGCCAGGCATAAGGTTAACAAGGACAGGCTGTCAGCCATAATGTGTGCCAGGCATAAGGTTAACAAGGACAGGCTGTCAGCCATGATGTGTGTCAGTGTATAAGGTTAACAAGGACAGGCTGTCAGCCATGATGTGTGCCAGGGTATAAGGTTAACAAGGACAGGCTGTCAGCCATGATGTGTGCCAGGGCATAAGATTAACAAGGACAGGCTGTCAGCCATGATGTGTGCCAGGCATAAGCTTAACAAGGACAGGCTGTCAGCCATGATGTGTGCCAGGGCATAAGGTTAACAAGGACAGGCTGTCAGCCATGATGTGTGCCAATGCCGACAGCACAGATAGAATCACTTGTGCAATTGTTGGCAACTCCAAGAAACCAAGAGGCTTGCAACATTGCTTGGACAGACTGCCTGTAAAATATTACAACTCAAATAATGTATGGTTTACACCGGAAATCTTTCTCTCTTGGTTTCACGTGTTCTGCAACGAAGTTCGTGACTATCAAGTTAAGAAACTCAAAATTAGGCCAAGCAAAGTTTGGGCTTTGTTGTTGCTTGATAATGCGTGCCTAAAATTGACACGTAAAGCTCACATGATGGCAAGATAACGTGTATGGCACTTCCTCCTAATACAACCTCTCTCATCCAGCCTATGGATCAGGGAGTTATCTGTGACATGAAGAGGTTGTACATCAAAAAGATGCTCAATGAAGTTTTGGTGGTTTTTGCCTCTAGGGCAAGACGTGGAACTCGGCACAGATAACAGGGCTAAAAGAAACATTGAGAATTTGAAGAACTATTTCATCAAGGAAGCCATCTGTAAGGCCAAGGTGTGGAATGAAATAAATGACTCTACTTTGAAGAATTCCTGGAAAAAACTCCTCACGTCTATGGTCAGCAATGAGGAGGATGAAGAAATGAATTTTGAAGGATTTACAGAAGAAATCCATGGAATGTTCAGAAATGCTGGCAAAAATTTTGAAAGACAGGATGTGGTTGAATGGCTTGAAAGAGATGCTAATGACTCAGGATATGGTGTGATAAGCGAAAAAGAGATTGTCGAGTCTGTTACTGGTGAGCCGGAGGATGACGACAGCAATGAGGAACCAATACCTCAGACCATGAAATACAGTCTACTCATGTCCTATGTTGATGGATTAATTAATTTTTCATCCCGCTGTGCTAATCCAGAAGTTGGAAACGTGTATCAGTACCTAAGGTGAACCAAAAGAGCTGATGATAAAACTAGCGTTGAATGTAATGAAACGCCATTTTCTGGATGAGTCTTGGAGGCTCCACAGAGCTATCCAGGCTGATATGGATATATTAGATTTCTGCCGTCAGTCAATGTGCATGGAATTCTAGGCCTTCCGGGGACCACGAGCCAGAACCTGGCCCTCTCAGAGAGGCACGAGGAGTTATGGCCTATAGAAACCCCCCCGTGTGGCTGGAAGCATTCTATGTCTGCTATCGACAGGATCAGGCACCCAGAAAGGTAAGTACCCCAAAACAATCGCCTATTCTGGTGAAAACATTGCTACAAAGAGCCGAATGAGTGGACAGAATTCCCCAAATGAAAACAAGCAAACTAGCATGGCATCACAACGTTGCTGCGCCGCTGTCTGTGTAACCCCTCCTCCCCGGGAGGGGGAAGTTGGAGCCCAGACCTTCCTGCCTGCTACCCACCCTTCAGTTCTTAAGGCTGGATGTCAAAAACGAGAAAAACTGCCGACCGAAGGGAGGGAGGGAGGGTTGCCGGGGAGCCTCTGGGTCTCACCCAGAAAATGACGTTTCATTACATTCAACATTGATTTTCTCAGGGGGAGTCCTGTTGGCTCCCCGCAGCTAACTACCCAATGACAAAAACAAAATGAGGATTTACCCCTGAAGCAGTTCGTCCTCACTCCTCGACTCCAAGTCGAGACAACTGGCTGCAACCGCCGACCCAATGCGACACAGGCCCTATGAGGCCCAGGAACACTGACAAGGTAGTGAGTGGCCAGGACCCTGTTCAACCTCCAGAAACTCCATGCCCAAATGTCAATCCAGGATATATTACCAAAAACAGCAGCCAAAGCCACGAACTTACAAACATCGTGGGCACGGTGATAGACCGCAGGCTGGCTGGACTGAATAATCCTGCGGACGACCTGGGAGACTCACGCCCTGGAACAGGGAGGAATCAGGCATCATCATCTTATGATGCTGAAGATGCAGACCTTCTGCATCTCATCATTCCAAGATGACCCGATGAAGGCAAGGAGAGGAAGCCTAACCAGAAAGACCTGTACCCTGGAAGGGGAACAAATTGACCAACTCTACCCCTGGCCTCAGAAAACAACCCGAAAAGTCTGGGAAATGTGGGACCAAGAGTTAGCAAACAGGGTGAACCACCCCAACTCCCTGTCAAGGGGAGAGGGGGGGGGGGGGGGCGAACTGCAAAAGTGCTGATATGAGCCATGAGCAGCCAATGCCTTCTGGGCTGAGCATGCATGGTGCATATCAGACAGAGAAAGGCCAGCCAAGGGAAACATGCAACCCGGCATCTGGCTCCACAGATAGTCTACCCTAACCCACAGCAGGGGATGCCCTAGCTCCACCTAACAGCCTTCAAGAACGAGAAAGGACCCCAGAACTAAGAAAGCTCGAAGTGGGCCCATACGCTGGAGCCATAGAGGAGAGAAACTTTGGCACAATCCCTCAAAGTAAAAGATGAGGAGAGAAGGTGAAGGCAGACAAGAGGGCCAGAGCCCACACTGAAACCAAGGACTGGGTCAACTCCACTCGATGAATCAAAAGGAGGGTGGCTAACAAAGGTACCTGCGTAGGAGCTGCAGGAGACCCACTACAAGAGAGAGAGCGGAACAAACGGATATCTACAAAGGCCCCCAAAATACCGTCAACACTGCTGACACTACACCACACAACCCCGAGCAGGAATGACAAGAGGAACGCCAAAGATCCAAATGAAAACAAAAAGTCCACTAGCCAGGGAGACTCCGTAACCACAAAAGCATCCAAGAGAGGAAGATCAAAGTATAAAAGGGGAAGGGTTTCCTAAAATGGCAGGACTCACAGGAGGCATGTAAAGATATACCATGCTCACCCTCACCTTCTGCAATCATCGTCTGACAAGTTTCAAGATGAATCAATCCTCATGTAATTACAGTTCAGGTACCTCACTGACAAGTAAGTTCTGCTTACTTGTCATTGTTCTGCTTAATTTCAAGGCGCCCTCTGTATTCACAGCCTGTGCTCTTACCTGATGGCGGATAGGGGTTAGTAATCAAGCAATAAACTAGCAGTTGGCAATAGTTAGAAGTAGCAGATCAATAGCTGGTCTCTCTGAATCCAAGTATTGCTTGATAGTAGTATTTTGAGTGTAGAAAAATGAACTTTCTGACCATCATTCAGGAATTGAGTATTTATTTATTCCTAACCCATTAATTAACAGGTGTCATGAAGAGGGGGGGGGGGGGGCAAGTGAAAATCCAACTGAATCAAAGACAGAAATGTCAAATGAACTATTTATGTCCATATGGAAGCAACCAAATAGGTTTAGCTTAGAAATAATAAATTAGTAAACTACAACAAATTAATATTGAGGTCTTACCTCTTTTGGAGATACACCATCATCACTGTCAGGGGAGCCCTCTTCAAAGAACTCATCATCGTCCATACTCTCCTGATGGTACAGGTTACACACCATATCCAGCTGCGGAACACAGTGCACTTGGTCTTTAAAACAACCAAACCTCATTGGAAACACTTGCATAAAGCTAAATGATGATTTTATAGAGGAAATACAGCACAATTGTTGCATTTTATCACTGAATTTCTTCTGATATATTGTAACTACATGCACAGTAACTACATGCACAGAAGCTACATGCACAGTAGCTACATGCACAGTAGCTACATGCACACAAGCTACATGCACAGAAGCTACATGCACAGTGGCTACATGCACACAAGCTACATGCACAAAAGCTACATGCACAGTAACTACATGCACAAAAGCTACATGCACAGTAACTACATGCACAGAAGCTACATGCACAGTAGCTACATGCACAGTAACTACATGCACAGTAGCTACATGCACAGTAACTACATGCACAGAAGCTACATGCACAGAAGCTACATGCACAGTAGCTACATGCACAGAAGCTACATGCACAGTGGCTACATGCACAGTAGCTACATGCACAGTAGCTACATGCACAGTAGCTACATGCACAGAAGCTACATGCACAGTAGCTACATGCACAGTAGCTACATGCACAGTAGCTACATGCACAGTAGCTACATGCACAGTAGCTACATGCACAGTGGCTACATGCACAATAGCTACATGCACAATAGCTACATGCACAGTGGCTACATGCACAGTGGCTAAATGCACAGAAGCTACATGCACAGAAGCTACATGCACAGAAGCTACATGCACAGTGGCTACATGCACAATAGCTACATGCACAATAGCTACATGCACAGTGGCTACATGCACAGTGGCTACATGCACAGAAGCTACATGCACAGAAGCTACATGCACAGTGGCTACATGCACAGTGGCTACATGCACAGTGGCTACATGCACAGTAACTACATGCACAGTGGCTACATGCACAGTGGCTGCATGAACTGTAGCTACATGCACAGTGGCTACATGCACAGTGGCTACATGCACAGTGGCTACATGCACAATAGCTACATGCACAGTAGCTACATGCACAGTGGATACATGCACAGTGGATACATGCACAGTGGCTACATGCACAGAAGCTACATGCACAATAGCTACATGCACAGTGGCTACATGCACAGTGGCTACATGCACAGAAGCTACATGCACAGTGGCTACATGCACAGTGGCTACATGCATAGTGGCTACATGCACAGTAACTACATGCACAGTGGCTACATGCACAGTGGCTGCATGAACTGTAGCTACATGCACAGTGGCTACATGCACAGTGGCTACATGCACAATAGCTACATGCACAGTAGCTACATGCACAGTGGATACATGCACAGTGGATACATGCACAGTGGCTACATGCACAGTGGCTACATGCACAGTGGCTACATGCACAGTGGCTACATGCACAGTGGCTACATGCACAGTGGCTACATGCACAGTAGCTACATGCACAGTCGCTACATGCACAGTGGCTACATGCACAGTGGCTACATGAACAGTGGCTACATGAACAGTAGCTACAGGCACAGTGGCTACATGAACAGTAGCTACAGGCACAGTGGCTACATGCACAGTGGCTACATGCACAGTGGCTACATGCACAGTGGCTACATGCACAGTGGCTACATGCACAGTAGCTACATGCACAGTGGCTACATGAACAGTAGCTACATGCACAGTGGCTACATGCACAGTGGCTACATGCACAGTGGCTACATGCACAGTAGCTACATGCACAGTGGCTACATGCACAGTGGCTACATGCACAGTGGCTACATGCACAGTGGCTACATGCACAGTGGCTACATGCACAGTGGCATGAACAGTAGCTACATGCACAGTGGCTACATGCACAGTGGCTACATGCACAGTGGCTACATGCACAGTGGCTACATGCACAGTGGCTACATGAACAGTAGCTACATGCACAGTGGCTACATGCACAGTGGCTACATGAACAGTGGCTACATGAACAGTGGCTACATGCACAGTGGCTACATGCACAGTGGCTACATGCACAGTGGCTACATGCACAGTGGCTACATGCACAGTGGCTACATGCACAGTGGCTACATGAACAGTGGCTACATGCACAGTGGCTACATGCACAGTGGCTACATGCACAGTGGCTACATGCACAGTGGCTACATACACAGTGGCTACATGCACAGTGGCTACATGCACAGTAGTAACAAGTACAACAGCTACATGTACAGTAGTAACAAGTACAACAGCTACATGTACTATAGTAACATGTACAGTAGTAACATGTACAACAGCTACATGTACTGTAGTAACATGTACAACACATTCATGTATAGTAGTAACATGTACAACAGCTACATGTACAGTAGTAACATGTACAATAGTAACATGTACAGTAGTAACATGTACAACAGCTACATGTACTGTAGTAACATGTACAACAGCTACATGTACTGTAGTAACATGTACAGTAGTAACATGTACAACAGCTACATGTACTGTAGTAACATGTACAACAGCTACATGTACAGTAGTAACATGTACAGTAGTAACATGTACAACACCTTCATGCACAATAGTAACATGTACAATAGTAACATGTACAGTAGTAACATGTACAACAGCTTCATGCACAATAGTAACATGTACAGTAGTAACATGTACAGTAGTAACATGTACAACAGCTTCATGCACAATAGTAACATGTACAGTAGTAACATGTACAGTAGTAACATGTACAGTAGTAACATGTACAGTAGTAACATGTACAACAGCTTCATGCACAATAGTAACATGTACAGTAGTAACATGTACAGTAGTAACATGTACAGTAGTAACATGTACAACAGCTTCATGCACAATAGTAACATGTACAGTAGTAACATGTACAGTAGTAACATGTACAGTAGTAACATGTACAGTAGTAACATGTACAGTAGTAACATGTACAACAGCTTCATGCACAGTAGTAACATGTACAGTAGTAACATGTACAACAGCTTCATGCACAATAGTAACATGTACAGTAGTAACATGTACAGTAGTAACATGTACAGTAGTAACATGTACAACAGCTACATGTACAGTAGTAACATGTACAGTAGTAACATGTACAGTAGTAACATGTACAACAGCTACATGTACAGTAGTAACATGTACAGTAGTAACATGTACAACAGCTACATGTACAGTAGTAACATGTACAGTAGTAACATGTACAATGGCTGTTCATGGATGTGTTGGACCGTGACTGACTTCACTGACTATCATGCTAGTTAAATTGTGAGAATAAAATCTTTGTGTAAACTACTGTAATTGTAGTAGAATTCTCCTTATCACAAATATCTTCCTGGTACATAAATGTTTTTGAAAATTAGAATGACAATAATGGTTGTGAGCAAAGGCATCAGTACAGTAATATAAATTAATGTTGATGCACCCAACATGGTGCCAATTTCAAAATAAATGCTCAAGCTTTTATGAATGTTTTCCCCAATATGGCCTACAATTGCCAGGGGTCTCATGTGTCAAATGATGTCCAAACTAAATATTTAGGAATTTTTTAATATTATGAGGTACATTAAATTGTCAATAGACAGGAATATCATCAGTCTATTTGCTTTAGGATGACAGTAGTTTATGGTACAGTATAACATTTGAATATGAATGTTTCTTTTTTACTATAATTACTATACCATATTATCATCAAGATATATTAAGATGTTTATGCCATTTTTCTTAAAAAAAAAAAGAATGTCACAATTACATTATTATAGATGCACAATTTGATTGATTTTCTTACAGATTTGATAAAAAACAAAATTAATTAATTTTAAGGATTTCTACTTACCAGTTGGTCAATATGCATGCTTTGGAGAATCCGTTCTGCATTTTCCGAGTCAGCTCGTGATTCCATTATTGCTAATAAAAGTTTAGAAGCATTGTTCTTCAATTCTAAAACAAGGTCCATGCGAGCCTTTGCCAGTGGGTTGATATCGCTGAGAATAAGTGCCGTAATGATGTGCAGCCCATTTGATTCGTGAGTTGCTAAAAACAAAAATATAATAATGCATTACGACGTGCGACCCGCTTGATGTGTGTTGCTAAAACAGAAATATAATACCTGTAACGCATTATGACATGCGGCCCACTTGATTTGTGAGTTGCGAAAACAAAAATATAATAATGTATTATGACATATGGCCCGCTTGATTCGTGAGTTGCTAAAAACAAAAATATAATAATGCATTATGACGTGCGACCTGCCTGATATGTGTTGCCAAAACAGAAATATAATAATGCATTATGACATGCGGCCCGCTTAATTTGTGAGTTGCGAAAACAAAAATAAATTAATTCATTATGACATGCAGCCCACTTGATTCGTGAATTCCTATAACAAAAATACTGTATAATAATGCATTATGATATGCGGGCCACTTGATCTGTGAGTTGCTAAAACAAAAAACCAGCGTTGAATGTAATGAAACATCATTACATTCAACCACGCTACATCCAACCACATTCAACCACATCAGCCACGTTATTGTAACTCATCGCCTGCATAATGAAACATCATTTTCTGTGTGAGACCCGGAGGCTCCCCGGAGCTATACCGGGCTGATGTGCATATATTAGAAAGTGGCACTAGTCAATCGATGGAGTTCTAGGCCTACCGGAGACCAGCGCCAGAACCTGGCTCCCCTCAAGAGAGGCACGAGGAGCAATGGCCTATAGACACCCCCATGTAATTGGAAGCAGTCCATGTCTGCCATCTACCAGGTCAGGTACCCAGAAAGGTAGGAATTCAAAAACAAATTACAGCTGGTTAAAAATTTCAAATCAAAAGCCAAACTAGCAAACAGAACTACCCAACTGAAAACAAGCAAACAAGCATGATGTCACCACAGCCACCGCACCGCTATCTGCACACCCCTCCCTGGGAGGAGGGGGGAGGGGAAGGGAGGATCCCAGACCTCCTGAGCCAGCTACTCAACCCCAGTTCAGAGGCTGAATATAGGAAGTGCGAGAAAACTGCCAACCAGAGGGACATGCTGGTGAACCTCTGGGTCTTGCCCAGAAAATGCCATTTTATTACATTCAATGCTGGTTTTTCCTCGGAGCTACCTAACCAAAGATAAAGGAAAAGAGGGACTTACCCGGGAGGCGGCCACCACTCACTCCTCAACTTGAAGTCGAGATAACTGGCTGCAACATGTGACCTAACGCTACACATGCCTAAGAAGGGCCAGGAACATGAATGAGGTACCGTGTGGCTAAGACCCTGTTCGGCCTCCAAAAGCCCCCATGCCCGAATGTCGGCACAGGACATATTACCAAAAACAGCAGTCAAAGCTGCGAACTTACGAATGACGTGGACACGGGGATAGCCCACAGGTTGGCTGGATCGAATAATCCTGCGGACGACCTGGGAGACCAGAGCCCTGGAACAAGGAAGTAGGGAATCCGGGTCAACCCAAAGTGCATCCCCTGCCATGGAGGCCGTAGCACACAAGTAATGGTGAAGAGCTGCAACTGGACACAACATGATGCACCACCAGCCGAACTAACCAAGCATCGACAACCCAAGGACCCCTTAGGAAAGCAGCAGTCTCATTCTTCACCAGAAAAGAAGGAGACAGCTGCAAATGAGCAAACCAACCGCCAAGACCGAAAGAGCAGAAACCCTTGCGCCGCAGGAGAGCATAAAGCTCCCCGACCCGTTCCCCAGAGGCCAATGCCAACAAAAAAAGGGCCTTAGAAAAATAGTCCTGAACCAAAATGACCACCACAAACAGAGGAGGAGAGAGAAAAGAGTGCACCCGGTCTAAAGACCAAAAAGACTCAGGCAGGGCATGAGCAGACAGAAGGAGAAACAATGCCTGAGAAAGCTTGTGGAATGGAGCAGAAGTGACATCCACCCCAAACACAAGCAGAAGCGGCTCCGTGAGCGCCACATGACATGAAGTGACAGTATTCGGCATGAGATGATAGTCCTGAAACAAACAAGAAAGGAAGGACAAGACAACCCAATCTGAAACAGATGAAAACCTACGGAGGGACAAGAAATAACGAAAGGACCGTAAGGAAACTTTATACTGTCGCCGAGACGAAGCATGCAAGTAGGGACACCATATTGAGGTTATCTTGAGATGATTTCGGGGCTTTTTAGTGTCCCCGCGGCCCGGTCCTCGACCAGGCCTCCACCCCCAGAAAGCAGCCCGTGACAGCTGACTAACACCCAGGTACCTATTTTACTGCTAGGTAACAGGGGCATAGGGTGAAAGAAACTCTGCCCATTGTTTCTCGCCGGCGCCCGGGATTGAACCCGGGACCACAGGATCACAAGTCCAGCGTGCTGTCTGCTCGGCCGACCAGCTACCATTAACGAAGCCTTGGGACAACTTACAACTTACAAGTACAACATACAAGGGACAACATACATTGTCCCTTGTACGTTGTCCCTTGCAAGTTGATGCTCACCATACAAATGGTGACAGACTTGCATCAGAAAGATCAGACGCGAAGACTTGAGGAGAAGAACAAACCAGTTAAGTAACAGACTGGCCCAATCTGCTGAAAGAGGCGGAGCCACGGGAAGACCCCATGGTTCGGACACCTAGCAAGCAGCACCTGAAACCAAGGCTGGGCTGGCCACCAACGGACCAACAGGATTACTTTCCCTTGGAAAGTCTTCAAGTGAGCCAAGACCAGGAGCAACAGTGGAACTATAGGGGGAAGAGGTACAGGTAACCCCACCTCAACCAGTCCTGACTGAAGGCATCGACCGCAATGATCTCGCAGTCAGGGAAGAGCGCCATATAATTCGGGAGACATCTCGACCACGCCAATACAAAGAGGTCCACCTACTTGAGTCCGTCCATTATGTGGGCAGAGGGATGAACACGGATAGGCTGTCTGCCCAGATGATAGACATCCCCTGAACGTGAACGGCCAGGAGAGCCAAACCCAAAAAACTACGCAGATGAGTCACCTGAAGCGACCAGCCCCAAAGAGCCAACGACCGCATCGAACCCCCTCGGTTATGCAATGAACCATTGGGAAGCAGTATGAATGGAGACGGATCCTCGATCCTCGAGTGACCCGAAGCCTCCGGAGTGACATCCACACGGCGCATACTCCCGCACCATGCTGTGTGCTCAACTGAAGGACAGACCCAACCGCCCCTAGATGACAAACTGGGAAAAAACAAAATCCCTGGCGAGCAGACACGCTGACTGGCTGGGAGCCCACACCAGCCAGTCGTAGAGGTAGACCAGAACCCATACCCCTAAGAGACACAGATGGGCAACCACAATAAGGTATGTGAACACGCGAGGTGCCAGATTCAAGCTGAATGGAAGGCAACGAAAGCAGTAAACCTGATGCCCCACAATAAAACCGAGCCAGTCCCTGAACCCAGGATGAATCGGGATGTACCAATACGCATCCTGGAGGTCTAGAGACACCATCAAGGTCCCTGGCTCCAAAAGAAGATGGACCTGGGACAGTAGTCATCCAAAAGGAAGAGCAATAGACCCCAGGGGTTCAGACAGGACAAGTCCAGAATCAACAGCAGGTTCGCACAGTCCCGTTTTGGAATTGGCAACAGGCAGGAAACCCACCTGAGGGTCGAGGATGTTTCGACCACGCCCAAGCGGACCCACTCCAAGATGACCTGATAGAGTGCAGGAGAAAAGGCCTGCCCCACCAGCTCCGAACCTCCCGAAGGAGGAAGGGCTACCCACTGCCACCACAGGCCGCAAGAAACGACCCACAATGCCCACAAATCATGGGACCCGGCTTCAGCAAACAGCGTGAGCCTTTCCCCCCCCCCATCTCCCCAGTCAATGGGATGAACTGCGAAAGGGCCGACGCCCCTTATGAGAAGCTGACCGACAAGCAGAGCGATCATTGCACAGACCAGACCTCGCCAACTCTGAAGGCTGCACCGGCTCTTAAGACTGCGCCGGCTCAGTAACTGGCACCACTGGCCCCAAGTCCTGGTACGACCCTTTTGGGACAACCCCATGGGCCTTCCAGAGAACCAACAAGTCTGACATGGGACGACAACTAGAAAAAGCCACTTGCAGAAACTACAGCACCACAGACTTCGCAAACAGCAAAATACAAAATGGCATAGAAAACCTAAGAGCCAGAGCCCAAGCAAAGACGAAGGATTGAGCGAGCACCGCCTGACGACACACGAGACGAGAAGCAAAGAACAGAGAGACTGCCTCCTGCAAGAACCACGCAAACAGCTCCAACAAGGCAGCCGACGCCCACACCGCCAAGACAAGCACACAAGAATCAGGACTGGCACCAAGTGCCTCCACGTCCTCCTCAAGACAGTCCGAAGACAGCTCGAAGAGGGAAGAGAAATGCAAGACCGAAGCCAAATAGCCATGAGCTTGCAAGTCCTCAGTAACCAGGGCAACGAAAGGAAGGGAACCTGCACATGAAGCTGTACCAGACCGACATTCCAAGGAAGGGCAGGGGCGAACAAACATGCATTGAAGCGTTCACACTCGCCCCCCCCAGGTAAACCTGAACAACCATAAGGACCTCTCACTACACAAGTGTGCGGGACCAACAGAATTTATGCCACGCCACCATCAAAATGATAGGACAGTCTGCCAACCAGGACAACTCTGGAACCTCGTAATGCACCCAGGAAGGAAAGAAAGAACCAAACTCAAAATAGGCAGGATCCATTATTCAGGTGTAATCCGGGTCGTGCAGGAGGTAAGCTGCAATGGCCTCCTGCACCTCATGGGGCGGGATGCGGGAGGCTGAAAACCTCCTGAAAGAAAGGGCCAATGTACCCAAGGGGACCTGGAACTGAACCTGGGAAGGAGCTAACGCCATATCAAACTTGTACAGGGAGGGGGATAAGAAAATCCCCCCCCTCCCTGCAACAACACACCCCGCTCAGAGGGTACCAAAACCCAAGCAGGATCAAATGAATCCCAAGCCCCCACAAGTGAGCCCCTCCCTTACCCTCCACACCAGGACCAGGGGCAGAGCCATCTTCCAAACCCTCCGCCTCAAAAGAAAGGCAAAGTCCACCGGAAAAGCTGAAATGAAGGGGGGGACCCACTGGTCACACCCAGAAGCACCTGCTGGAGGAACAGGCTCGAATGCCTCCATTGTTACACTGTTAGAGGCATCCTCCAAAACTACCCGAGTCTCACCACCAACTAAACCCTGCCCTGACTCCGAAACCCTCAGACGCTTCGGAGCCGGGTGCAGAAGGGAAGTAAGAGGACGAACAACAGCAGGGAAAGGACACGGGGAGGGTGCGGACGAAACCAAAGTCAAGGCGACTAATGCCCCCAAGTCCGGGTCCCTATAACCTAAACGGGGCAATGTTGAGGTATCCGGTTGAGCAACCAACAGTGTGCTGCAGCAACTTAAAAAGTGCATGCAACGCCAAAGCTGCCCGCACCCGAATATCAAGATCAGTGGATTGGGTGAATTGGAATACAAACAAGGAACACCACTCGCAAGACTCCGGGTTAAAGGTGTTACCAAACCAACAGGTTTGTCTACCCAGAGACAAACAGTGGTGCATGAAACACCCCAGCCGACTCCAAGGGCAGACAATCACCTAGCATCAAAAGACCCCATGGAGGTAGGCCCCAATCGACTTGTGTAAGGTAACCCCAAGCCACAAGGGCAGTACTTACAGGGCACCTAGGGAAGGTAACCTTAGGCGCATGCAGCCCAAGTACTTGTGAAATTACTCCTGGCTCGCACACCCTCACAGGATAGGACCACACCACAAGGCACAGCACTGTAAATTGTCTGGAACCAGAGTCGCACGACCGCCAGGTCTTGCATTAGCCTCAGAAGTTGGGGTGGATAGCCGGAGTGGGGAGTCTGGGGCTCCCCCTACCCCCCTCCCAGGAAAGGGGAGCTGCGCAGACATGTGATAGTTGTGATGTCATGCTCGTTTGCTCTTTTTAGTTTGTTTGGGGAGTTCTGCCCAACAGTTTGACTTTCAGTAGCAATTTTTTAACCAGATAGGGTATGTTTTGGGGTGCCTATCTTTCTGGGTGCCCCAGAAATGGCAGACATAGAATGCTTCCAACCACACGGTGGGGGGGTTTCTATAGACCATTGCTCCTCGTGCCTCTCTGAGGGGAACAGGTTCTGGCTCGTAGTTCCCGGTAGGCAAGAACTCCATGCACTATGACTGATGCCAGAAAGCTAATACAGTGGTACCTCGAGTTACGAACGTCCCTGTTTTACAAACTTTTTGGGTTACGGGCCCGATTTGTTCAGAAAACTTGAATTCGGATACGAACTTTACATCGGGATACGAGTTTGTCGATACGCATACAACCGACCTAGTGCATGGTGGCACGGTAATCGCGCCTCAGTTTACCAGTGCCTCGTGCCCAGTGACTGTCCCGCCTGAATTCTTCACAAGAATTTACAGTTTTTTGTCGGATTTTTGGCCATTTGAGCATAAAAAGTTGTTATTGTATATCTCGCCATGGGTCCCAAGAAAGCCAGTGGTAAGGTTCAAGCAAGATATCACATGTGAGAATGACCATAGAGAAAAAACAAGAGATCATTTATAAGCATGAAAATGGTACTTGTGTTGTTGAACTAGCTAGGCAGTACAACAGATCTTCAGGGGAGGAAGAGCAGGCAGTAGAGAATGTCCCTTCCTCATTAATTAAGAAAATGTGTGCAGTATGGGAAGGACTGCAAAGTTTTTCTAAAAAGAATCACCCAGATAAAGTTGTAGTAGGCTATTGCATTAATCTTTTTAATGACAATGTGATGCCTCACTATAGACAAGTGTTTCAAAGAAGGGAAAAACAATCTTCAATGGAATGTTTCCTTGTGAGAAAAGTGACAAAATCAAGCAGTGAGCCACAACCAGGTCCTAGTGGTATGCAGGCAAAACGTACCAGTGTGTGCACTCCAGAGAAATCTTCACTGCCTGATGTTATAATGGAAGGGGACTCCCTTTCCAAACATTAACACCTCTCCTCCTCCCCCCTCCTCCTCACCATCTTCCATATGCCAACAGGAGTCATCAGCAAGGGTAAGTAATAACTTGAACATACTGGTACTTTTGTAGTGATGATTTGGGTGAATTAGGTATAAAAATTACTTTGAAGTGACTTTTTGGGATTCAGGAACGGATTAATTCATTTTCCATTATTTCTTATGGGGAAATTTGCTTCGGTTTACGAATTTTTGGGTTACGAACTGTAAACCGAGGTACCCCTGTCACATCCAGGGTATCCAGACACATCAGCCTGGATATCTCCGGGGAGCCGGAGCTCCCTGGAGATATTTGGGCTCCCCCCAGAAAAAGTGTTTTCTTGGTTGGTGCTGTAATTGGCAAACAAGATTTCTTGGCCGGCGCAGCACAGTGATAAATGTGATGCATCAATAAGAAAATCAGTAGAAGTCATGACGAGGATTTGAAGCTATACACTGGGTACTCCCAGGCACACTCGAGACCACTACACCACGACATAGTTAAAAGCACTGCAACCTGGGATTTGACTGCATCCTCTAGAGTTCCTGAGGCTTCCACTGAAGCCAAATCAGGGTTTCACACAATGGGGGGGGGGGAAGGGACAGGAGTAGGGTGAACGAGCAGGAGCAAGTTCCTAATCTTTGCGACTGTTTGTTGATATTGTTGTGAGAGTTCTTTTGGTGGTTCTGGAGGTTATGGTCTTTTCTAAAGCCAGTTGTGGACTGTTTTGTTTTGTTGATTTTCCTGGTGACTTTTCTGGTAGTGAGATAATAAATGGCACCGATTCCTGTGCCTCTGTGATGGGACCAGGTTCTGGCTATGTCATTGGTAGGCCACATACAAGTCCCTGGCTGATGCCACCTAGTAGCTGGCACACTATCAGTCATAGTAGCTTCAGAGAGCCACATGGGGCTTCCCCCAGAGAAGTCCAAGTATGTGCAGAAGCTCATGCATGTTGTGGCTATGTAATCAAGAGAGGAAACTTCCATGACAAAATTAGGAATCCTACATATAAGCAGACAAAATAAAATCTTTAAACACTCACCTGAACATTCTTATACACTGAAGCAACATTACCATTAAAACATGCAGGTCATGAATAATGTGTAAATAATACATTAATAACTTGATGCAGAAATTCTGTATGGCATTAGGCATAATACTAAATTAAGAGGATAAGACTTACCAATACAATTCTGGTTTTCATGGCAGGGACCTTGACAATACTCAGTTAGTGTCTCTAAAGTCTGATTGATAAGGGAGACATTGTGTTCATTGATGTAGAGGCCAAGCAGCCCCAACCCACCAGTTGTAGACCCACATATACAGTCCAGAAACATAAGAGTTTTGCTAATCAGATTGTAATTTGTCTTGCTTTTCTGATTTCTTAAGAAATTCTGAAAAAGAAGAGTGTGTATTAGACACCTACAACATTTGTAATAGTTTAATTGTAATTACAGGAACAGAACTACTCTCATGATGACCCATCTTCTTTATAACATTTATCACATTTTGACAATTTCTAAGCTTCAACAACTATTAGTGAAGAAATACCATCATAATTTGAACATTGTTATAAGTATTTTACACCTTGGCCTCATGATTTACTTATTCAAATTATAAAGAAGAACGTTCCCCAGTATATTCCCATATCCATTTATAATGTTTGTGTGGTTATAATATTCCATCTTTCTGAGATATTCTACTCAGTCACTCACTAAGGTAAGATCATATTCACCTCTGGGCAGGATCAGGAACAGTCAGGCAAGTTGAGGAACCTGTCAAACTATTATTGTCAGATTCCATGTCTGATGCATGACACTGTAGAATACTGAGAACAACCCATAATGTACACAAAAAAACAGCGTTGAATGTAATGAAATGCTATTTTCTGAGCGAGTCCTGGAGGCTCCCTGGAGATATACCGGGCGGATGTGTATATATTAGACGGTTGCAACAGTCAATCGATGGAGTTCTAAGCCTACCAGGGACCAGAGACAGAACCTGGCCCCCTCAAGAGGCGCACGAGGAGTAATGGCCTATAGACCACCCCCCATGTAATTGGAAGCAGTCTATGTCTGCCATCTACCAGGTCAGACACCCAGAAAGGTGGCAATTCCCCAAAATAACTACAGCTGGTTAAAAATTGCAAACCAAAAACCGAACTAGCATACAGAACTCCTGAATCGAAAACAAGTAAACAAGCATGACGTCACCACAGCCGCCGCGCCGCTGTCTGTACAACTTCCCCTCCTGAGAAGGGGAAATGGGGGATTCCAGACCTCACGCACCAGCTACCCAAAGTTCAGAGGCTGAATATTAAAAACGCAAAAAAAATGCCGACCAGAGTGAGGGAGGGATGCCGGGGAGCCTCTGGGTCTCACCCATTACATTCAACGCTGGTTTTCTATGGAGACCCCCTTCGGCTCGCTGGAGCTACCTAACCAAAGATTAAGGAAAAGAGGGACTTTACCTGGGAGGCGGCCGCCACTCGCTCCTCAACTCGAAGTCGAGAGAACTGGCTGCAACCTGTGACCCAAGGCTACACACTCCCAAGACGGGTCAGGAACATGAACGAGGTACCGTGTGGCCAGGACCCTCTTCGACCTCCAAAAGCCCCATGGCCGAAGTCTGCCCAGGATAAATTACCAAAAACAGCAGCCAAACCCACGAGGTACCATGTGGCCAGGACCCTCTTCGACCTCCAAAAGCCCCATGGCCGAAGTCTGCCCAGGATAAATTACCAAAAACAGCAGCCAAACCCACGAGGTACCATGTGGCCAGGACCCTCTTCGACCTCCAAAAGCCCCATGGCCGAAGTCTGCCCAGGATAAATTACCAAAAACAGCAGCCAAACCCACGAGGTACCATGTGGCCAGGACCCTCTTCGACCTCCAAAAGCCCCATGGCCGAAGTCTGCCCAGGATAAATTACCAAAAACAGCAGCCAAACCCACGAACTTACGAATGTCTTGGGCACAGTGATAGACTGCAGGCTGGCTAGACCGAGTAATCCTGTGGACAACCTGGGAGACCTGCACCCTGGAACGGGGAAAAAAGGAAACCGGGTCAATCCAAAGCACGTTCCCTGCCACGGAAACCGTGGCGCACAAGTAACAGTGAAGAGCCGCAACTGGAAACAAAATGTGATGCACCACCGGCCGAACCAACCAAGCATCAATAACCATTTAGGACTCCTCCAGAAAGCAGCAGTCTCATTCTTCACCAGAAAAGGAGGAGATGGCTGCAAATGAACCAACCAACCACCAGGACCGTAAGAACAGAAACCCCTGTGCCGGTGGTGAGCATGAAGCATTCCGACCCAAGCCCCAGAGGAATATGCCAACAAGAAAAGAGCCTTAGAAAAACAGTTCTGAACCAAAGGGGCCACTACAAACCGAGGAGAAGAGCGAAAGAGAGCACCCGGTCTAAAGACCAAGATGGTTCAGGCAGCGCATGAGCAGGCTGGGGGTGAAACAATGCCTGAGAAAGCTTGCGGAATGGAGCAGAAGTGACATCCACCCCGAACACATGCAGAAGCAGCTCCACCAGAGCCACATGCCATGAAGCGACAATATTTGGCATAAGATGAGGGTCCTGAAACAACTAAGAGAAAAAGGACAAAACAACCCGATCAGAAATTGAAGACAACCTTCAAAGAGACAAGAAGTGGTGAAAGGACCACCAGGAAATTTCATACTGCCGCCGAGATGAAACTCGCAGGTGGGACACCATCAACAAAGCCATCTGATCACCATACAAGTGGTGATAAACCCGCATCAAAAAGTTCAGATGCGAAGAGCGGAGTAGAAGATCGAACTAGCCACGTACCAGACTGGACTAATCTGCTGAAAGAGGCGGAACTGCAGGATGACCCTTGGGTTCGGACACTGAGTAAGCAGCGCCTGAAACCAGGACTGGGCCAGACACCAAGGGGCCAACAGGACTACCCTTCCTTGTTAAGTCTCCAAGCGAGCCAGGACTTGGAGCAACAACCAAACTGGTAGGAAGAGGTACAGATAACACCGCCTCAACCAGTCCAGTCGAAAGGCATCGACCGAGGGCGTCAGGGAAAGGAGCCACAAATACCGGAAAACTGCTCGGCCAAGCTGATGCAAAGAGGGCCAAGTCCGGGTGCCCAAACATCTGGCAGAGCCAATGGAACGAGTCGGCATCGACCGACTGTTCCGTGGGAAGGGGAATGAAATGGAACAAGCTGTCTGCCAGTACATTTGACACTCCCTTGATATGAACCGCAAGGAGAGTCAAACCTCGAGAACTCAGCAGAAGAGTCACCCAAAGCAACCAGCCCCAAAGAGCCAAGGACTGCATTGAACCAGGGAGAGCAGGTCGGCCGAGCGGACAGCACACTGGACTTGTGATCCTGTGGTCCTGGGTTCGATCCTAGGCGCTGGCGAGAAACAATGGGCAGAGTTTCTTTCACCCTATGCCCCTGTTACCTAGCAGTAAAATAGGTACCTGGGTGTTAGTCAGTTGTCACGGGCTGCTTCCTGGGGGTGGAGGCCTGGTCGAGGACTGGGCCGCGGGGACACTAAAAGCCCCGAAATCATCTCAATATAACCTCAAGAAGATAACCCTCACAGTTCAGACAATGAACCACAGGGAAGCAGTTTGAGTGGAGCCAGATCGTTGATCCTTCAACTTCTTGAACCCTCTGAAACGAATGCCACACCGCCGTGAACTCCCGCACCGTGCTGTGAGCCCGACAGAAGGACGGACCCCACCGACCCTGGCAGCCCTGGTGAGCACTGCCGACAAAGCCCCAGCCTAGAGACGAGGCATCTGTGAACACATTGAGCGAGGGCTCGGGTAGGCGCACTGGCACAGAACAAAAAAAAAAAAAAAAAGAGGAAGCCGGCAACACCACAGCCTACGAAAGGCCCCTGGGGTCCAAACCCAGCAATCGCGAGAGAGGCGGAAGGGATGTCCCCGAAGGAACCCGAACAGCCACCGAAGCCAGATCTGACCTAATGGGTAGCCCAGCAGGGTGATGTACAGACTCCCACACAGCTGCTAGAACAACCAATATGTGACCTGGGTGCCCTCCGAAAACAGCTGAAGGCGGGACCACAGCCGCAGCAACGCCGTGGAAGGGAGACACAAGGAAGAGGTCCGTGAGTCCCCACACAAGACCCAGCCAAGTCCGAACCTGAGAGGTAAGCAAATAGGACTTCCACCAGTTCACCAAGAACCCAAACTCGGTGAGCTGGGAAAGAACCAAAACCTCTCCCCCACTGCCCCGTCAATGGAGCGAACCGCGAAAGAGCCGACGACCCTTATGAGAGCCCGACCGATGCTCAGAGATCACTGCGCCAACCAGATGCCAACGGCTCCGCAGGAGGGGCCGGCCCCGCATCTGGCACAATTGGCTTACGATGACTGAAGGAACCCTAAGCCTTGGGTTCCTTCTTATTGTTAATCCTTCTGGATATGAATACCATTATCTTATTTGCCTAATTTTGAACATGTCAACATTGATTTTTTTTTTTTTTGGCTTAAAACTATCTACTACCTACCTACTAATTTTATGACTCCTAGATCTTTCTAGCATTCAAAGTTTGCAATTTCAACATTGTCTAGCTGATGTCTAGTAACTATTATCATTACCTAGGCTCAGAACCTAACATTTGTCAGCATTAAAGTGCATTTGCCAATCTTTTGTGCATTTTTTAATCTTTTCAACTTCAAAGTATAATGTAGAGATTTACATAATCCCTCATTTACCAACCTGGAGAAACAAGTTATGATTTTCACAGAGCAGCTGCAGGAAACGCAATACTGGTTCCATCACAGCAATCTTAGGAGATAGTTTGGGATTTTCTGTGGGAGATTCCTTGTTGCCTCGACCTCCAAAGTTTTCACCTACTTCTTCCAAGGTGTTAAGGCCTAGACAGGAACTGGTGTCATCTCCTGTGCAATGGTTAATAATTAATTAAAAACTCCAACACTTAGTACCAATTATTACGAAAAGACATGTATGTATTACAAAAGAATGTAATGAATTAATGAGAAGACTTTTTCTGTTTGCACGTTGGTGGCTCCCTGCAGCTAGCTCACTCAAACAGCCCCACACACACATTAGTCACACAGCCTTACGAGTCCTTAATGGCCTACCAAAGACCAGAGCCAGAACCTACATCCCCCCCCCCCCCTCACAGTGGACTAGAGAGCAGGGGATTGTTATTATCACCCTCAAGATCAAGCAGCATCCAGAAAATAAGCAAAAGCAAAAGAAATAACTGCAAGGTTCATAGAAGGAAAAGAAATGAAGCAGTAAACAACTGCAAACGATCCACCCAGCTGTTAGGTCAACCTTCCAAATTCCAGCTAGCCTCTGCCAGGCAGCACCACCCGAAGCTCTGGCTCCCCATACCATTATAGCTCAGTCTGGAACTGAAAACCACACACACCGAAGCACCTAAAAGGGTGAAAAGGGTAAATTACAAGGGGACTCACTGAGGCCCAACCAGAAAGAGGTGTTTCATTATGTTCATCATTTACTTCCTAGAGGGGCCAAAGGGTGGCTCCCTGACGATAACTAACCACAGAGCTGAAGAAAAAACCCAGTATTGAATGCCACTTTCTGGGCGAGTCCTGTGGCTCCCTAATGCTATTTTGCCGAGATGGCTCCCAACTACAGTACTAGGTCACATCAGCAGTGCATTTCAGTTTGACCTATTGGAGGACCACTGCCAGAATCTGGCCATTACATCCTATTTACTGGCAATCAGGGATAAAGAGATGCAAGCACCTCTCTGATGCTCAAAGAAATCAAGTAGTAATAAGGAGGGTCCACGAAGTGCAAATGCTGCTGGTGCCACCTGGAGGGCACTGAGTGTGTGAAGCTGAAACACATAATGAGTTAGTATGTTATTATGCTGTATTTTTGTTATTAGGTATTTAAATACATTGCCCCAATGGCAATAGTTCTTATGTCCCTTTGAACAAAAAGCTGACAACCCCTTTTTTTGTGATTTTTTTTATTTATTTATTTATTCTTGTTTTTTCTCTCCTTTGTTTCTATGCAGATTTTGTTGTAACTTGTATGTCCTGTAAAATACATATCCAGCACCAAGTGTGTGAAGCTGGAACAATATTGGTCAACATGTTAATCAGCCGCAGGTGGCACAAGTTGTGAGTTTGATTTTTTTGGCCGATTTATTTACAGATTTCAAACTCTATTTTCTTTGTCTCTTTAGGTTGTATTGATGAATGAGGACCAGATGAGAGTCTTATCACTTATATATGCACAATAAAGTTACTGCAATATACAGTGGTACCTCAGAATATGAGTGTCCCTGTATACGAGTTTTTCAGAATATGAGCAGGATTTACTTGGAATATTTGCCTCGGAAGGCAAGGGTGTTGATACGCGTACAAGCCGACCTAGCGCGTGGTGGCATGGCGATCACCCCTCAGTTTACCAGTGCCTTGCGCCCAGTGACTATCCCGCCTGAATTCTTCACCAGGATTTTCAGAGTTTTGTTGGATTTTTGGCCAATTTGACCATAAAAGTTGTTATTATATATCTCACCATGGGTCCCAAGAAAGTCAGTGGTAAGGTTCAAGGCAAGAAAGCGCATGTGAGGATGACAATAGAGTAAAAACAAGAGATCATTCAGAAGCATGAAAATGGTACGCGTGTTGTTGAACTTTGTAGGCAGTACAACAAAGCCACGTCAACGATATGCACTATACTTAGCAAGAAAAAGGACATTATGAGTGCTAAAGTGGCAAAAGGCATAAGAACAATCTCGAAACAAAGACCACAAATACTTGAGGAAGTGGAAAAGTTGTTATAAATTGGATATACAACAAGGAGTTAGTGAGTGATAGTGTTTCAGAGGCCATCATTTGTGTGAAAGCCAGGGTGTTGCACGAAGACCTTGTAAAAAAAAACCTGGAACAAGTGCAGATACGATAGACTTTAAGGCAAGCAGTGGATGGTTTGAAAAATTTAGAAAAATTTAGAAAAAGGATGTGATGCCTCACTAGAGAGCCATCTTGCGAAGAAGGTAAAAACAATCTTCCATGGACAGATTTGTTGTGAGAAAATCGAGCAGTGAGCCACAACCAGGACCTAGTGGTATGCAGGCAAAATGTGCCAGGGAGTGTACACCCAGAGAGGTCCTCACTGCCTGATGTTATAATGGAAGGGGACTCCCTTTCCCAAACAGTAACACCTCTCCTCCTCCCCCTCCTCACCATCTTCCATACGCCAACAGCAGTCATCAGCAAGGGTAAGTAAAACTTGAACATAATTTTGTAGGTTTATTTAGATGAATTAGGTATTACCTTACCTTGAGGTTACCTTGAGGTGCTTCCGGGGCTTAGCGTCCCCGCGGCCCGGTCGTCGACCAGGCCTCCTGGTTGCTGGACTGATCAACCAGGCTGTTGGACGCGGCTGCTCGCAGCCTGACGTATGAGTCACAGCCTGGTTGATCAGGTATCCTTTGGAGGTGCTTATCCAGTTCTCTCTTGAACACTGTGAGGGGTCGGCCAGTTATGCCCCTTATGTGTAGCGGAAGCGTGTTGAACAGTCTCGGGCCTCTGATGTTGATAGAGTTCTCTCTCAGAGTACCTGTTGCACCTCCGCTTTTCAACGGGGGTATTCTGCACATCCTGCCATGTCTTCTGGTCTCATGTGATGTTATTTCTGTGTGCAGGTTTGGGACCAGCCCCTCTAACATTTTCCACGTGTAAATTATTATATATCTCTCCCGCCTGCGCTCAAGGGAGTACAGATTTAGGCTCTTTAGTCGGTCCCAATAGTTTAGGTGTTTTACTGAGTGAATTCTAGCAGTATAGGATCTCTGCACGCTCTCCAGGTCGGCAATTTCTCCAGCTTTGAAAGGGGCTGTCATTGTGCAGCAGTACTCCACTCTAGAGAGCACAAGCGTTTTGAAAAGTGTCATCATCGGTATAGCATCTCTAGTGTGAAAAGTTCTTGTTATCCAACCTGTCATTTTTCTTGCAGTTGTGACGGCTACTTTATTGTGTTCTTTAAAGGTAAGGTCTTCCGACATGAGTACACCCAGATCCTTTACATTGCCTTTTCGTTCTATGTCATGATTTGCCTGAGTTTTGTACGTGGTTTCCGTTTTTATATTTTCATTTTTTCCATAGCGCATGAGCTGGAACTTATCTTCGTTAAACACCATATTATTTTCTGTAGCCCATAGAAAGACCTGATCTACATCTGACTGGAGGTTTGCCGTGTCCTCTATGTTGCCTACTCTCATGAAGATCCTAGTGTCATCTGCAAAGGATGATACAGTGCTATAGGTTGTGTTCTGGTCTATGTCCGATATGAGGATGAGAAAAAGTACTGGAGCAAGCACAGTACCCTGGGGGACTGAGCTCTTCACGGTTGATGGGCTGGATTTTATTTTGTTGACTATTACACATTGGGTTCTGTTGGTCAGGAAATTGTAGATCCATCTGCCTATTTTTCCGGTAATTCCTTTTGAACGCATTTTATGTGCAATAACGCCATGATCACATTTATCAAAAGCTTTTGCGAAATCTGTGTAAATTACATCAGCGTTTTGTTTGTCTTCCATAGCATCTAATGCCATATCATAGTGGTCCAGCAACTGCGACAGGCAAGAGCGCCCTGTTCTGAAACCGTGTTGTCCGGGGTTATGGAGATGCTGTGATTCCATGTATTTTGTGATCTTACTTCTTAGCACTCTCTCAAAATTTTTATAATGTGCGATGTTAGTGCTATCGGTCTGTAATTTTTTGCCTCTGCCTTATTTCCTCCTTTATGAAGTGGTGCTATCTCTGCTGTTTTTAGTATATCAGGAATAACGCCAGTATCTAGGCTTTGTCTCCACAGAATGTGGAGGGCCTGCGATAGTGGTTTTTTACAGTTCTTGATGAATATGGAGTTCCAAGAATCCGGGCCTGGTGCAGAGTGCATAGGCATACTGTTTATGGCTTCTTCAAAATCTAGTGGGGATAGGGTGACGTCTGATATATGATTTGATGTTGGTATCATATCCATGAAAAATTCATTTGGGTTATCAATCTTTAGTGCGTTTAATGGCTCACTGAAAACAGAGTCGTACTGCTTCCTCAGTAGCTCGCTCATTTCTTTGTTGTCATCGGTGAAAGTTCCATCTCCCTTTCGCAGGGGCCCGATACTAGATGTGGTTTTTGATCTTGATTTTGCATAGGAGAAAAAATATTTCGGATTTCTCTCTATTTCACTGATGGCCTTTTGCTCTCTTTGCCTCTCCTGGGTTTTGTATGATTCTTGTAGCTTGAGTTCAATTGTTTCTATTTCTCTACCTAACCTTCTTCGCCGTTCTTGAGATAAGGTGCGACTCTCAAGTTGTTCCGCGATTCGTTTTCTTCGCCTATATAGGGAACGACGTTCCCGTTCCAATCTGCATCTCTTTCTCTTTTTTCTTAGGGGTATGCGGTTTGAACATATTTCTAGTGCTACTGAGCTTATTTTTTCCAGGCACTGGTTCAGGTTTGCATTTTCTAGCTGTTCTTCCCAGTTTATTTCTGTGAAGTCCTGGTTTATTTGCTCCCAGTTTATCTGTTTATTATTGAAGTTGAATTTGCTGAAATCTCCTCCACCGGGAATCTGGACTGGTTTTGAAGGTCTACTCCCCATGGTTGTCATAACTTCAATTAAGTTGTGATCTGAGTAACAGGTATTTGTAATCATTATGTTCCTGATCAATTCATCATTATTAGTGAAAATGAGGTCCAGCGTGTTCTCCTTCCTAGTTGGTTCTACTATTTGCTGGTTTAAGGCAAACCTGTCGCACATCCGTAGCAGGTCATTTGCATGTGCCTGTTCATTTAGGCTACTTCCTGGTATTCTTTCTGATATTACTGTATTAGCCAGGTGCTTCCATTTCAGGTGCCGTAGGTTAAAGTCCCCAAGCAGGATGATGTTCGGAGCTGGATTAGTGAGGTTTTCCAAGCAGTGTTCTATTTTCATTAGTTGGTCTTTAAACTGCTGAGGGTTTGCCTCCGGTGACTTATATACAAGGACAATAACTACATTTAGAATCTCTATTTTGATTATCAGCACTTCCACCATATCATTTGAGGTGTTTAGCAGCTCAGTACAGAATTTGGAATGGCCACATTGATAAAATGTTTTACAGTACACTATACTCTAAAAGAATATTTTGAGGACGGACCGAAACGTCCGTCCGAAACAAATACGACTGAAACGTCGTCGTCCCTTCAACTTCTAGTGTGTGGTTTGGTCAACAATATTTTGTCCTTAGAAACTTGAACGTTATATGCCATTATGAGACCATAATGAATACAATAAAAATTAGTGACATTTTAATATTTTTAAAGCTAATTTGAAATTGTGAATTTTTTATTTTTGTTTTCTATTTTATTTGTAACTTTTTTTCTGTTAATGGTATGATGTTGATCCATTAGGAACAGTTGGAGCATTTACCATGAATATATTATTTACACAAAAAATTGAGTGAGTTGAGGAGTTTTCAGTACACAGTCACAGGGGCCCCTTAAACATTATTTTCTGCAGCCCGCTGAAAGACCTGATTAACATTGGATCGAAGGTCTACTGTGTCCTCTATATTGTCTACTCTCATGAATATTCTAGTATCATCTGCAAAGGCTGATATATTACTATAGTTTGTAGCCTTGTCTATGTTGGATATGAGGACGAGGAAAAGTAATGGAGGTACCTCGAGGGACTGAGCTTTTTTTTTTTTTTTTTTTTTTTTTTTTTTCTTGAGATATATACAAGAATCCTATGTCCCTGTACGATCCCCTGCCGCGAAGAATCGTTTTTTCATCCAACAGTCACAAACTTGTACAGCTGTACAAGACCAACCTCCAACCATGGGACGGTTGGCAAGCACTGGTCATGAAGCCCCCAACTCATAGCCAAGTCATCCGTGAACACGTCGAGTAACTGGTGAGGATGGCACAACGGAACCGATCCCGGAAAATCTTGAAGAGGAATCAGTTCTGTTTGGCCTACTGGATATCAGAGCCAGAACTGGGCCCCCCTTACAAAGGCACATGAAGCAAAGGATAATCACCCACCCTCACTGGGAAAGCATCCAGGAAGTCAGCATAGCTTAACCACTGCATTGCTCTGCCTTAACCCTTAAATCGCACAATACATATATATATATGATGGGAGTAAATGTCACGAAATCGTGCACATCGTACATATATGATTGAGGGTCTAGCACACGATTTTAAATGCCCCACGAGGGATAGGGGTAGCTATGGTCCAGTCGTGATCAACAGTAAACAGAAACCACCTTGAAAAAAATTTGTGGGTAAAATATCCGGGTGTGAGTCTCAGTACTGAGTGAGCAGCCAAGGCTAGTGCATGCAGCATGAGGCTAACAGCACTGCTGTTCAGCTTGTGAACACAGCATCGCCTAAATATGTAACACTATACATGAACCTGTTATTATTTAGTGATGTTAGTATTAGAGAAGACCCCTGTGATAAAAATGACCAAGGTTCTGATAATAGCAGGATTGTGGTGATAATTAGTGCTGTGCTCTATGGTGGGAGGAGTAATGCTGAGGGAGGGAGGGAGGTGGCATTGTCTTCCAACTCTGTGTGCAACCTGTCCTCTTAAAAAGAACGTCGCTTTTGGCCGTTTGCCCGTATGGACGAATATGGACGTAATTTGAACATGAAAAAAAATGAAAATAAATTTGGGATTTTTTTTCAACAACAGTAAGTTAAGGGTCCTCTGATAGGTTAGGTGGGCAGGAAATTCTCATAAAGTTTCAAAATGGTATGAAAAACGTTAATGGAAAGTTGCCTCTTCTAAGCTTGCCGAGTAAGCCGGACGACTCCAACAGAAAATGGAACAGTACGTCACTTTTGTGAGTCGATTTCATTTCAAATTACGTCCAAATTTGGCCATAGCGCGCATACGAGCCAAAAGTGATGTTATTTTTAAGAGGACGGGTTGCTGTGTGGCCACCTTTTATTGACTGGACTTAGTAGTATGGTAAGATAGGGTAATGGGAATAGGATACCTGTATTTAACTACATCATGAGGTTAAGGCAATTATAAGAATCAATAAGAGAAAAAGACTTGGGTGTAGACATAACCCCAGCTCTTACACCACAAGCTTGTGTGAACAGAATAACATTAGCAGCACATGGGAAGTTAGCAAACATAATTTCATTTATAAATCTAAATAAGGAAGGAAGCTTTAAAGTCCATACACACACTGCCTATGTGAGACTATTACTTGACTATGTAGCACCAGCATGGAACCTACACCTTGTGAAGCACAAGTAGAAGTTCAAGAAAGTTCAGAGGATTGCAACTAGATTAGTCCCAGAACTGAGAGGGCTCAGCTATGATGACAGGTTGAGGGAACTCATCCTTCACAACCTTAGAGAAGAGAAGACACAGAGGGGATATGATAACTACATATGCAAGATCCTGAGGGAAATAGACAAAGTGGACAAAGGAAGCCTATTTAAATTAAAAAGATGTAGGATAAGGGGATATCAGTGGAAGCTGGATACAATTGATTCACAGAGATGTAAGGAGGTTCATGCTTCCTTACATCTCTCCTCAACCACTCCAACCATGAGTGGTTGGCAAGTGGACTGCATTGAAGGAAGAGATTGTTGAAGCCAATTCCATCCACAACTTTACAAAAAAATATTATGAAAACATTAATAATGAGAGAGGTAATTACCACACCAGGTATAAATGGCCAGAAGGAAGTGCATAAAGAGCTAGATCACATTCCCCAAAATTGCTCATAAGTAAGTGTAACCCAAATGTTGCAGGTTGCAGGCTACAGGGCAATATCCGCCCAACAGGCAGCAGAGAGAGTAAAACCAACCATTAGTTTATAATAAAATGATTGGACATCTCTCAAAGTTGTAAGTGGCGACTGCAGGATTGATGGCTTGATCACAATGAGCCACACCAAACACCCTCTGAGCTTACCAGTGCCTGAAGGCAAGGATCAAGCAGGACACCCAGGCACTAGGGACACTCTGGAAAAAGTGACACTGAAAACCGCCTTCAGTGTCAGTACCTTGGGGGGACTGACACTGTATGGTCCCTTGGGAGCCATATACAAGCACATGGCCCCCCAAGGGACAGAGTACAAACGATTACATGAAAAAATTAGGACCCACTATAGCCGGTGACTCAAGGAGCGGTCCACATCTGGGGATATCAGCATCAGGACTGAGCTGTTAACACGAGGAGCTCGAGCTCCTAGTAGTGCCGCTAACTGGCAATAGATGGCAATGGAACTGGGGGGGATCGACCTAACTGCTGGGTGGATTGTTTGCAGAGTTGTTTGCTGCTTTGTTTCCTTGGGGAGAGTGATTATAACAATTCCTTGCTCCCTGTGCAGTTATGGAGGGGGGGGGGGAGGTTCAGGCTGTGGTCTCATCCTTTATGATCTGTGAACAGATCATAAAGGACTCATGTGTGGACCTATCTGAGCGAGCTACCTACAGGAAGCTATTGTTTGGATCCTCCAGAAATAAAGCACTCAGTGTAATGAAATGACACTTTGTGTGGTTTCTATAAATAATGCCTCAGTGTTTAAGGCACTGACAAAATAGAGCTTTCAAACTTGTGCTGAACTCTTTAGACTTGCATGGCCTACTGAAAACCAAGGTCAGAGAATCTGGTTCACACAAAGAAGATAGAGTTCTAGTGCCTTTCTCTGGTAGGTCAATAAGGAAGTCTGAGATGCGAGATGAGATGATATTGGCTGTAGGGTGCCTACACAAGGGTTGGAGACTTGCTGAGGGGTCCCCTAGAAAATAAGTTTCATAATATTCAATGATCTATTTCTTGCAGACAAGTAGGATGATACTTTTGATGACAGCAACATTTAGAGGGTTAATATTTACATTTTAGTGCAATTGCTAAGTAACTGTTTGTATTTAAGCATAAAAATCCATACATGCAATCACTAACCTGTATTGCCAGCTCTAATATTTGTGTAAGCTTGCGAGGTAACCGATGCAGCAACAGACAGCTCTTCACGAATCTCATCATTCATCACTAATCCATTTGGTCTATTTCCTGGGCAATTAGAAAGGAAAAAAACAGGAGTGTGTTGATTAATGGGGGACTCACTGCAATCAGGAGATAGAGATAAATCCACTGATTTTATATTACTAAAATTAATACTCTGTAACTTGCATGTAATTACTTAAGTGTAATTACAGAATGAGAGGTATGCTTGTGGTGCCCTGTTTTCAGTCTTGGTGTGTGTGTGTGTGTAATTACCTAAGTGTAGTTAGAGGATGAGAACTATGCTCATGGTGTCCCGTCTTCCCAGCACTCTTTCTTGTATAACGCTTTGAAACTACTGAAGGTTTTGGCCTCTACCACCTTTCTCAGTTTGTTCCAACTGTCTATCACTCGTTTGCAAAATAAAACTTTCTAATATTTTTTTGGCATCTTTGTTTCCTTATCTTGAATATGTGTCCTCTTGTTCTTGAAGTTGCTGGTTTCAGGAGTTCTTCTGTCAATTTGGTCGATTCCTGTTAGTATTTTGTAGGTGGTGATCATATCGCCTCTTTTTCTTCTACTTTCTACTTTTGACATGTGTAACACCTCTAGTCTCTCCTCGTAACTCTGGTTTTCAGTTCTAGAAGCCATTTTGTGGCATGCCGCTACACCTTTTCCAGTTTATTTATGTTGTATTGTATTGTATTGCTTCTTGTCATATAGGCACCTTACCTTGCGGTTACCTTGCTATGATCTGAGGGCTCAATGTCCTGCGGCCCAATCCTCGACCAGGCCTACTGGTTGCTGGATTGCTCAACCAGGCTGTTGGACACAGTTGCTCGCAGCCTTACGTATGAATCACATACGTAACCAGGGACCAGCCTGGCTGATCGGGTATCCTTCGGAGGTGTTTATCAAGTTCTCTCTTGAACACTGAGGGGTCAGCCAGTTATGCCCCTATTGTGTAGTGGAAGTGTGATGAACAGTCTCGGGCCTCTGATGATGATAGAGCTCTCCCTCAGCGTACCTATTGCACCTCTGCTTTTCAACAGGGGTATTTGGCATATCCTGCCATTCCTTCAGGTCTCATGTGGTGTTATTTCTGTGTGCAGGTTTGGGACCAGCCCCTCTTAATATTTTCCACATGTAAATTATACTGGCCCCATACAACTGCTGCATATTCCATTTTTGGTCTCACAAAAGTCATGAATCCTTTAGGATTTCTCCATCCATATAATTAAATGCAATTCTCAAGTTGAAAATCAACGCATATGCTCCTCTCACAATGTTTTGTGTGTGTTACTCTGGTAACAGTTTACTATCCAAATCCACCCCTAGGTCTTGTTCATTATCAGTTCTTCAATTCCTTTCCACATTATTTGAAAGTTGAGTGTGGTCTATTTTCTCCAATTACACATTCCATACATAACATGGAATTTATTCACATTGAATTCCATCTGTCACTTGACACTTCAAGCACTTATTTTATCTAGATCAATTTGAAGTGTATGACAATTGTCTGCATCTCCTATCTTCTCCAGTGATGTTAGCATCATCAGCAAATGTGTTCATATACAGTAATTCTGTATTCTTTCTGATAGGTTGTTTATGTAAACGATGAACATTACTGGGGCAAGAACTGAACCTCGTGGTACTCCGCTAGTAACATTCCTCCAGTTGGATACGTTGTATCTAATTACCGCCCCTCATCTGTCAGTCATTTAGAAAATTTTTCATCCATGTCAAAAGTCTCCCTGTCACCCCTGCAGCATGTTCCAGTTTCCAGAAAAGCCTCTTGTGTGGGACTCTGTCAAAAGCCATTTTTAGGTTCAAGTGGACAGTCAACCCAACCATCTCTTTCTTGTAGTATCTCTGTGGCTTTATCATAAAAACTAATTAGATTTGTTACACAGAATCTTTCTGTTCAAAAACCATACTGTCTATCTGTTATTATGTCATTACTCTCTCTAGGTGTTCATCCCACTTGACTTTAACTATTGTTTCTAGTGTTTTGACTACTACGCTTGTTAATGATACGGGTCTATAATTTAGAGGTTCTTCTCGACTACCTTTTTATAGATTAGTACTCTGTTTGTCTATTTACATATATCTGCTAAGATTACTGTGCACAAAGATGTTTGAATTATTAACACTTTCGCTGCCCGATCACACACATTTCGTTATGAAACCAAAATACGAAGTATGCGGCATGATGCAAACAGCGTCAATAATTTAAAATTATAAACAAAATCCATTTATTGTCCGAATACTATGGGACTTGTCTTAAAATTAGCGCAAACTTCTTCCCATTCTCAGTATACCCCACATGGCATCCTGACCCCCGCCGTGTGGACGCCCACCCACGCTGGAGGCTCACTGTTCTCATATCCTCGCTCGTGACAGCTGTGGCCTTCTCTGGAGACAAAAAGTTTTCCCATTCTGGTTATCTTATCTCAGGTATTTGTTGTTACTGGCTTTATAAACACTGCAAATTGACTTCCAGATGGATACTGATCAAGAACAAAGCCAATCCATGATGAAAGCAGTGAAAGAAACACGTTCAGTATAAGGGAAAAGTTACTAAGTTTTCGTTGAAAGTATAGAAAAGTGAGGAGTATATGTTCTTATAAGCAAATATCACATTACAGCATTCTATTGTGAAGGATTTGATACCAATCAAAACAACGTATCACAAAAATTGAGGTCAGAAAGCTAAAAAGAGAACTGTATAAACATTTGTCGAAGGCGATGGTTTCACGCGCATCACTCGGCCGACCTTGAGGTGCGCTGCGGGTCGCTCGCTGGGGCAGCAAAAGTGTTAACAGGAGTGGAATGCTCAGCTGAGTTGCACATTCTCGCAGCACCCAAGGTGAAACTCCATCAGGACCAACTGTTTAATTTCTTCCTAACCCCTTGAGTAATTTTTCCATTTCGCCTTGAGATTCCTCCATGTACTCTATATCGTGCTCTGGAATTGGTATTCGGTCTGCTTTTCTGAAATCCTCATTTTGTACAAACACACTTTGGAACTGTTCATTTAGTATTTCACACATTTCTTTTTCATTCTCAGTAGTCCTGTTCCCCGTTTTCAATCTCTGGATTTTTATCTTTTAAATGCAACTTGCTTTTAACGAATTTACAGAAAAGACCTGGATCTGTTTTACATTTGTCCGCTATACCTTTCTCAAAGTTCCTTTCTGCCTCTCTCCTCAAAGCTGTGTAATTTTATCTTGCTTCCTTGTAGAGCGGTTATGTTTGTGGGTTAGGCCGCAAACATATACTGTACTTCCCTGTACTGAACCCATTATGTTATCTTTTTCTCTCTGGCTGACTCACAATTTCTGCTGAACCAATCCTGCTTTCTGGTCCTACATGTCTGTTTTGGTATGAATGTTTCTGTATCTTCATCGTATATTTCACAAAATTTAGCATACATTTAACTTACTTCCTTGCCTAACAACAAGTCTGTCTAATTAAATTCATTAATTTTCAAAGTTCCCATAGTGTCCCTGCCTATTTCAAGAGTTTTCAATAAACTCTTGAAATCAAGTTTATCAACCATTTTACTGTCCCCATTCTCTTCTAGATTATATCACAAAGAATATTGAATTTCCAACAGGACATAATCACTCTTTCACAAGGGAAAAAAGTACTGGATGTCAAATATCTCTTCTCTTTTTTTCCTGGTGAATACTAGATCCAGTATTGATGGAACATTCCCTTCCTTCATTCTTGTGGCCGGCTTGATGTGGTGATACATGAATGTCCTCTGTTCTTGCTTCATAAGACTCCCAGTCTATTGCTTTCAAGTTGAAGTCCCTCAGTACTAACAATCATGATTTATCTTAATCTGCTTATACAGTAGTCTCTCTCTCACGACAATTATTAGACCCTTCTCATTTGTCATCTAGTTCCTCTGTTGTCCACGTGTTGCTTGCTGGTGGGCTGTAGGCATTTAGTTATCAGTTTATCATCGTGATTCCAAACCCGAAATGTCATTATGTCAACTTTTCAAGGGTTGTCAACTTTCAACACTCTTACCTTCAGATGTTCTTTCACCAGCACAGCCACTCCTTTCCCCTTCCTAAACTTCCTGTCACGTCTCCTAACTGAGTAGTCCCATTGGAATACGACCTCATTCAAAATATTTTTGTTTTGGTTTATTCCTCATAAATAAAAAAAATTTAAATATTATATAAACACACAAAAAGTTTTGTCTTTTACTTCCCCTTCCTCTAATGATTTTGTTGCTTTGTTTTTATGTATCATTTCACTAGCTTTCTAGTCCATAATACTTTGAAGAAAACAGAATTTCTTTCTTTCTTTATTGCTATTCCCATTTAGAAGTTTTGCTTCACTGAGGTTCATTCTCAGCTTTTCTGTGTCTTCCTTTGAGAGGTTTTGTCTTATTGACCAAAGTTTACCATCCTTATCACTCTGCAATTTCCTAGCATTTTAAAGCACTTCCATGATTTGTTTCACTCCATTAAACGTCACCCTTAAGGGGCAGTTCTTGTCTTTCTCATATTTTCCTATCCTCCTAAAATCCCTGACATTTTACTTTGAATTAAGGCCTATTCCTAAACCTACTATTTTCTCTATGATTTCAGCTTACCTTGTTGTAGTTTGTCTTCTTGTTTGATACAAAAGATCTTGAAATGTGTAGTGCTTGAAAATTTATGTAACCTTATCTCCGGTTATCCAGATTTCTGTTCAGAGGTTATCTTCTTGAGATGATTTCGGGGCTTTAGTGTCCCCGCGGCCCGGTCCTCGACCAGGCCTCCACCCCCAGGAAGCAGCCCGTGACAGCTGACTAACACCCAGGTACCTATTTTACTGCTAGGTAACAGGGGCATAGGGTGAAAGAAACTCTGCCCAATGTTTCTCGCCGGCGCCTGGGATCGAACCCAGGACCACAGGATCACAAGTCCAGCGTGCTGTCCGCTCGGCCGACCGGTTCCCTAGTAGTAGAGGTGGAGTAGTTTTGCCAGAAAATTATCTGGATGTGATTTTAGCTGGACAACCCAAATATTTGGCTCAGCAGGCTTCAGATAACAGTGCTCACACAGTATATGTACTTAGAAAAATCAACACAAACATCATATTTCTTGTATACCTGTTAATGTACAATAGACAGCATCTAATTTTACTAAAAGCAAAAGATTTCTCACCTCCCTTTTTTTTATTTAACTTTTCTCCTTCCTTCTGGCCATCCTTGTCATCGGTGGTCTTGGCACTCAGGTCAGAGGTGTTGACAGTCACAGTGTTCCGTATCTCTTGCTGAGCTTCTTCCATTTTATTGTCAAAAACCTGTAGGACACCAATTTTATTACTATTGCTTTATTTGCATTGACAAATATTTAGATAAAAGAGTTATTAATTAAACAAACTACAGGTCACTTTATGAAGAATATTCAATATAGAATGAAGAGACATTTATAAGACAACAAAAATTAAACAAATGTAATTAAAACAAATACAAATATTCTTCCAAGATGATTCTCCATACAATTTCACTCACCCCAAAAGCACTAGTAACAAAAACAGCTCAATGAAAGGTTGAAAGAAACAGCTGAAAGGTTCTTGTTATCCAACCTATCCTTTTTCATGCAGTTCTGACAGCAACATTGTTGTGCTCTTTAAAAGTCAGGTCTTCCAACATGATTACCCCTAAATCTTTTACATAGCTTTTCCTTTCAATAGTGTGGTTTGACTGTTTTATATGTGATTTCTGTTTCGATATTTTCCTCTCTTTCCATAGCACAGTAACTGGAACTTATCCTCATTTAACATCATGTAATTTAATGTGACCCAGTGAAAGACTTAGTTACCATCCGATTGGAGGTTTGCTCTGGCCTTTATATTGTTTACTCTCAAGAAAATTCCAGTGTCATCTGCAAAGGATGATACAGTACTATAGATTGTATCCTTGTCTTTGTCTGATATGAGAATGATGAAACATACTGAAGGAAGTCTAGTACCCTGGGGGACTGAGCTTTTACGTTGGATGATCCAGATTTTACTTTGACGACTACTACACTCTGAGTTCTGTTTGTTAGGAAGTTAAAGATCCATTTCCCTACTTTTGAGAGTACAGTAATTCCTTTTGTGCGCATTTTGTGTGCAATAACACCATGGTTACATTTGTCAAAGACTTTTGCAAAGTCTGTGTATATTACATTCACATTTTGCCTGTCTTCCATGGCAGCTTAAGCCATGTCATAGTGGTCTAGCAATTGTGAGAGACAAGAGTGTTCTGTTCTGAACCCATGTTGTCCAGGGTTGTGTAGACATTGTGATTCCATGTGTTTTGTGATCTTACTTCTTAGCACCCTTTCAAAGATTTTTATAATGTGCGATGTTAAAGCTGCTGGTATATCAATTTTTGCATCTGCTTTACTATCTACTTTGTGAAGTGGCACCATCTCTGCTGTTTTAAGTATTTCAGGATTAACACTAGTATCCACACTATTTCCAAAATATGTTTAGGGCCTGTGACAGTGGTTCTTTGCAATTCTTGATGAATATAGAATTCTAGAAGTATAGACATGGTGTAGAGTGCATGGGCAGGCTGTCTATGGCTACTTCAAAGTTAAGTGGGGTTAGGGTGACATCAGATATATGGCTCAATGGTGGTGTTACATTCATAAAGAATTTGTTTGAATCATTGATATTCCAGCTCATCCTCCTGTTTTGGTAGTACTTATAGTAATGATGAGGACCATAGTACATATACCGACGTACAATGCAACTAGAAAGTAGAAATCGCTACTATTGAATTTGGACAAACCGGAAAGGATTTTCTATTTATGTTGCAAAGACAAACTAAACTAACATAACCTAACCTTCCTAGGCCTAATACACAATATCTGAGGCCTAATATAGTCCATGTGTGTGCTATTCTAGGCCCAGAAATGTTTATGTTTGCTTTTTACCTTCATTTTATTCAGACTATAAAGTGAATAGTACAAAATTCTACTATCTAATTGCTTAGAACGTCAATCTTTGTACTATGGTGCACAAAGATACAAAACTACTATATAAACATGAGGATGGGTTGTGATATTCAATGTGTTTAGGGGGTCACTGAAAAAAGAATCGTACTATAGCCTTAGTATTTCAATTATGTCTTTGCTGTCATCTACGAAGGTACCATCACCCTTTCGCAAGGGCCCAATGCAGGATGTAGTTGTCCTTTATTTTGCATAGGAAACACAATTTTTTATTTCTCTCTAATTCGCTTATGGCCATCTGCTTTCTTTGTCAGTCCTGGATTTTGTATAATGCAACTTTAGCTCGATTGTTTCTATTTCTCTACATAGCCTTCCTTGTCACTCTTGGGATTGAGTGGAGTATTTGATTGTGCATATCATTTTCTTCACCTATAGAGGGAACACTGTTCTTGTTCCAGTTTGTATATTTTGATCTTTCTCTTTAGTGTTATATAATGTCAACATTTCAAGTGTTACTGTGCCTATTTTATTAAGGCACTGCTATATGCATTATCTACATCTCACTCTCAGGATATTTCTGTGAGGTCTTCATTTAGTTGTTCCAGGTTAATCCATTTGATATTACAAATTTAATTGTACAAATTCTCCTACACATGGATTTGAGACTGACTGCACAGGTCTATTGTCCATACTTGTCTGAACTTTAAATGGGTTGTGATCTGAGTAACAAGAATTTGTAATCATTATGTCCCCTAATCAATTGTCTATTAAAAATATAACATAAGGTGTTTCCTTTTCTACTTGGTTCCATTATTTGCTGGTTTACCAACTCTGTCACACATCTATAAGAAGTCAATTGTGTGTGACTGTTTACTTAAACCGTCAATTCAGCAGTCTCCGTGGTGTAGTGGTAAGACACTCGCCTGGCGTTCCGCAAGCGCTATGTCATGGGTTCGTATCCTGGCCGGGGAGGATTTACTGGGCACAATTCCTTAACTGTAGCCTCTGTTTAACGCAACAGTAAAATGTGTACTTGGATGAAAAAAGGATTCTTCGCGGCAGGGGATCGTATTCCAGGGACCTGCCCGAAACGCTATGCGTACTAGTGGCTCTACAAGAATGTAACAACTCTTGTATATATCTAAAAAAAAAAAAAAAAAAAAAAAAAATCTCTCTGGTATAACTGTATATGCTACATTTTCCATTTTAGGTGCAGTAAGTTAAAGTCGTCAAGGGAGATGATGTTTGGGGCAGTTTGTGAGGTTTTCTTAGCAATATTCTGTTTTGTAAGTTGGTCTTTAAACTGCTGAGGATTTGCATCTAGTGATTTGTATACAAGGACAATCACGGCATTTAGGATTTCAATTTTGATTATTAGCACTTTCACCACATTATTTGTGGTGTTTAGCAGCTTAGTGCAGATGGGGGTCATTATTGTACAGGCTGACCCGAACCTGTACCCTATGTTTCCTAGCACATCTAAAAAGACTGAATTCTGGTATCCATATCTCAATGTCATAATATTCCTTTGTGAGAGCTTCAGATAAAGCTGCAAACATTGAATATGTCTCATTCAGGAGGGCAGTTATAAAGTGGACTTTATTTTGGTGTGGACTACTTTATACTCACTTAGTAGTAAGTTTTGGTCATTGATGTTTTTCCTGCCCGAAACGCTTTGCGTAATAGTGGCTTTAGGCATTGTATGTACTAGTTCTATCTATAAATCTATCAATTTTTGTAAAATCTCTTGTATGTATGTACCTTACCTGAATAAACATTTATTTATTATATATTTATATATTTGAATATTTTGATACCTTGTTTGTTGGCACATACGCAAGATGTTATTGTCTTGGTGGAAGTGCTGAGTATTTTACTTGGTGTTAATATCAGTAGTTCTGGTAGGGAGGGGGGGGTTGCCACATTGTCTGTGTCTCATCTAGCACTTGACCATGTTGATGGAGTTAGACATTTCTTACCATTCTTTTCCTCTTTCTCTTACTAAAAAATCTCCCAAGAATGTATTGTGTTGGTGTACTCATAATAGGGTGAGAGAGGGATCAGTCTGGACAAATAATTGGCAAGAGGCCAGAGTGAGGAGATCTGGCAGTTCCCACAGTTATCTCCTTCCCACAGTTACTACCAGAGTACAAATGCATACATACTCACTATACATATTATTGAACTACACAGTACATACATAAATATAAATAACACAGCCTTATTCTTAAATTCTAAAATACAAATTGTTTACATAATTTCACAGAGCATTACCTTAAAAAAATTTTGACTCTTGTCACTCTCCCGGAGTTTATTATAAAGCATGTCTTGAATTTCTCTATTGCCGCCCTCCAGGAGTGCTATGCCCAGTTCCACTGCCTCCACAAAAATACGATGTCGATTTTGACTTTTCATCACAAGGTCTACCACTAGGACTGCTGCCCCTTTTTTGGCTAAATCACACTGAACTTCAGCCAAGGATTTCCCCGAACGTCGCTGCACTACATCTGTTAATGAATACAGTATTAACAAATAATTCTCTAAGAATATTAACACAAACTGCCAGAGATAAATAAAACAGAAAACATAAGGCTTCAAATGCATATGGAAATCTAATTTCAGAGCATACTACTCAGTCACTCCCCAAGGCATGTGTGTGCTATACTAAAGAACATTATACTTCCCATCCAGTATCACTGGTTCCTTCACTGATACAATGGGGGATCTGTTCTAAGGCACTATATATATGTACTGCAAAAGTCAGCAATACTCACTCCCCCTTCCACTGGGCCATAAGTTTGGAGAGTGAGACACTGGAAAACTCAAACTAGCCTGGAATGAATGTCAGAAGGTACATTCATATAGTACTGTGCTTCCAAAACCTCCTCAAAGAAGTTCTTTGATTCAACTCTTGTCGCCAGGCATTGCTCAGATATTTATAAACTACTACTAGAGCACCTCGTTGCTACCTCTACCACCCAGCAGATAGCAAAGTCACTAAATAGAACAACCACGTGAAACTACCCCACATTCCACAGAATGCTCCCTGAAATGGCACCATGGAATTCAGAACAAAAAAAAAACCAGCGTTGAATGTAATGAAACGCCATTTTCTGGGTGAGCCCCGGAGGCTCCCTGGAGCTTATCGGGCTAATGTGTGTTATGTTAGACCGGGACATTAGCTAAGGAGTTCAGACCTACCAGGGACCAGCGCCAGAACCTGGCCCCTTCAGAGAGGTTTCAGGGAGCAATGGCCCTGGAAAACCCCATATGGTTGGGGGTTTTCCTTATCTGCCATCGACCGGGGTTAGGCACCCAGAAAGGTAGGCGTAACAAAACAAACCCCACATGGTAAGAAACTACAACAAAAACCGAACAGAGAGGTAGAAAACTCCCTACAATCCCAAGGAAACAAGCAAACAAGCAAACATCACACTTTACTGCCGCGCCGATCGTCCGCGCAGCCCTCCCCACCCCGGGAGGGGGAGGGGGGAGCCCCGGACCTACCGCGCCGGCTGCCAAGCTCCAGTTCGGAAGCTAAGCTTCAACCAACGCGAAAAAACCGCCGACCGGTGGGAGGGAGGGTTTCCAGGGAGCCTCCGGGGCTCACCCAGAAAATGGCGTTTCATTACATTCAACGCTGGTTTTCTGTGGGGAGCCCCTACGGCTCCCTGGAGCTTCATACCCAAAGAGAAGGAAAAGAAAGGGCTAACCCGGGAGGCGGCCGCCACAAACTCTGCAACGCAAAGCCAAGACAACCGGTCGCAAACCTGCGACCCAAGGCAACAAGAACGCCCAAGAACAGACGCACACATGGATGGGCGGCCAAAAACCTGTGCGACCCACAATTCCCTGCGCCCGAAATGAGCCCGAGACGTCACCAACACAGCAGCAATTGCTGCAAACGTCTGAACAGCACGGGCGCAAAGACAGACCGCAGTAAGAAGGAAAACACTGCGGACGACCCGGGAGAACACAGGACGCACCCCCCGGCCAAACCAAACAAGTACTAATACCCCAAGAACCCCTCCGGAAAGCAGCCGTCTCGACCGTCGCCAGGACAGAGAAAGGCTGCACACCAATAAAGCTACCACCAGTACCAAAGAGGAGGAAACTAAAACCGAAGGGGCTACCACAAACTGAGGGGAAGAGAAGAAGGCACCCTGAACAAGGACCAGGATGGCTCAGGCGACTCATGAGCAGGCCGGGGGGGAAACAAAACGCGAGAAGACGTAAGAAACGTCATACAGTCTCCAAGACGAAGCTCGCAGGTGGGACACCGTCAACAAAGCCACCTGAACACCATAGAGATGGCGATACCTGCGTCAAAATACCAGACGCGAAGAGCCAAAGAGAAGGCCGAACCAGTCACGGACAGGACCGATTCGGCCTGCTGAAAGAGGCGAAGCCTCAGGAAAAACGCCCCGGGTACGGACACCTATCAAGCAGCGTCTGAAAAGAAGGCCGGGCCGGCCACAGTGGAACCATAAGGACTGTTCTCGTGGGAATGGGCTGCAACTGAGCCAGAACCCGAAGCAACAGCTGGACCGGGAGAAGAGGTACCGGTACCCCCCACCTCGACCAGGCCTGCCGAAAGCCTCCACCGTGAAGTCCTCGCAGGTGGGAAGGGCGCCACAAAACGGGCGACGCCTAGACCACGCCGACCCGAAGACGTCCATGGCCAGGAGTCCATAAGCCCAACAGAGCCAACAAAACGAATCGGCGACGACTGGCCAACCCACGAAGAGGAATGAACCGAGACAGCTGTCCACCAGGACGCAGGACACACCCCGGACACGAACCACACGGTTAACCAAACCCCCTGTGGTTCCGGCAAGAACCACCAGAGAACAGTCCAAACAGAGCTGAATGGGAGAGTACCTAGTGACCCAAACCCTCCGAAGCGCAAACCAGACAGCCATGAACACCTGAACCGGGCTGTGAGCCCGATGGACAGACAGACTCCATCAACCTCGGCCGACCTGGTGAGCACTGGTCACAAAGCCCCAGCCGAGAGACGACCCGTCCGTGAACACATCGAGCGAAGGCTCGGGGAGCCGCCAAGGCACGGAACCCCGAAAACCCCAAAGAGGAAGCTGGTGACGCAGCACCAACACCAGATCCCCAGAGGAACCCAAGGAATGCAAGAGGCGGAAGTGGAGTCTCCGTAGGAACCAACCGACGCCGGAGCCAAACCCGACTCCGCGGGCAGATAAGCACGCCGAAGTGCAAACTCCCGCACAACCGCCCAAGCAACCGCTGAGCAACCCGGGACCCCCTCCTGAACAGCCAAAGGCGGGACCACAGCCACAGCAACACTTCTGGAGGGAAGACAATGAGGGGCCCAAGAGCCTGAAACAAGGCCCAGGTCCGAACCCGGGACGGAAACAGAAGGTAAAACCTCCAGATCACCAGGAAACCAAACCCAGCGATCTGGAAAGAACCATCCCCTGGCGAGCAGACAAGCGGACTGACTGGGAGCCCACTCCAGCCAGTCGTCGAGGTAGGCCAGACACCGAATCTCAGACGCAGACAGGGCACTAAGATCCGGTAAAGATGCAAAGAGTATACAAAGTGCCCTTCACAAAATAGGGAATGCAATAAAAACAGCAAACCTGAAGCCCCACCACCAAAGCATTGTATGACAACCATATGAAGACATATGACATATGACAATCATTATATGACAATATGACAAGTATAATCAAGGCATTATATGACAAAGAGTGCCGGGAAGAGGGGACACCACGAGAGTAGCTCACATCCTGTAACTACACTGAGGTAAGTACACATAGGGAATTACCAACCGTGCTAGCCCCAGAAAAACTGGAGAGGAACGTGCCAAGAAGTGACCTGGAGGTCCAGGTCCACCATCCATGCACCCGGCCCTAACAGAATCCGAACAGGAGACAACAGTCCTCCGAGCAGGGCAGAGGATCCAGGGCGCAGACGGAAGTAGTCCAGAAGAACTGCAGACTGGAAAAACTCATGACTGCAAAGAGCAGATGGGAAAAGCTCATGACTGCAAAGAGCAGACGGGAAGCCCAGAAGGATGGGGCGGATCGACCACGCCCCACGCACCCACGAAGAGGAAATGACGAAGCGCAGGGAAGAAGCCCACCCCGCCAGCTCTGAACCCCCCCCAAGGGGGAGAAGCCGTCCTCCGACGCCAGCAGAGGCCGGAAGACAACCCAAAGCGCCCACCAACAGCGGGACCAAGCGAGAGGCAACAGAGCAAGCTGCTCCCCCAGCGCCCAGTCAACAGAGAAGGGAACAGAACCCCTTCAGAAAGAAAAAGTACACTACCGAAGTCATGAGGAGAGACTACGGGAATGAAACCACACTTCGCTGGAAGAGGAAGTGAGGGGAGACCTGATCACCACATACAAGATACCCAAGGGAATCGACAGGGTTGAGAAGGACAGGCTATGTAACACAAGGGGCACACGCACTAGGGGACACAGGTGGAAACTGAGTACCCAAAAGAGCCACAGATAGAATTAGTTTTTTTTTTTTTTTTTTTTTTTTTTTTTTTTTGAGTGTCAGAATGGGAACGGGAAAGCACTAAGAAGTAATGTGGCGACTCCTCACACAAGGAACGAGGCTGACCCCCATACAATGTCACATGTAGACATGACAGAGCCCAAGAGGCACAGGAACCGATACACCTGTTGACGGATGGTTGAGAGGCAGGACCAAGGAGCCAGAGCTCAACCCCCACAAGCACAACTAGGTGAGGACATATAGTGTAAAAGCACAAGCCGCCGACTAGTGGCAAAGAGCACTACGCCGGCCAGGCAAAGAAGGCACAAAACAGCATCAAAAGGCCCACCTCGACAGCAAAACCACAAAGTTCCAGCACAACCACAACATGTGCCAAGACCCAAAAAGCTCAGTCTGCAAGCCAGGAAGACCCCGGAACCCCAAAAATCAGAACCGGGTCACATGAGGAAACAAAGTCCCCTGAACCCACAAAAGGGGGCCCAAGAGGAAGAAACCTCCAGAACGAAACCAAGGAACCCAAAGGAACCCAGAATCGAACCAGGGGGAGCCCAAACCACCACATTTGCCAGCGGAGAACACCACTAAAAGGCAAAGCACAGACCCCAGCAGAACGCCCTGGGAAAACGGTCCCAACAGACCGAAAACCGAGGGGCAAGGTGTGGGAGCAAGCATACCAGCCAGGGGCACTGAGCCTAAACCCAGAGGCTCAGACCCAAATCAACACCCAAACGTTCCCAGAGAAACAGGCAACGGCAAGAAAACACCAGAAAAACAAAGAAACGACAACAGGAGAACAAAAACCCTGCAAATTTTTTGAAAACTCACCAGAGACGCTCGCTCGCACACCCAGGCGCATGTAAACAAACCGCAACGCCGCCCTGGTGGCCACGCCGGGAAACCGGCAGACGAAAATGGCCGCCAGCAGGGGCTGTGACTGACGCTTAATACACAAAAACACGCCAGCAAATGTGGGAAGCTAGCAGACTGGAAGGGCGAAAAACGA